TCAGTTGAGCCCTCACGTACCCGGTACCTCATGGATACTACTATACAGTACCCCACTATATAGCTTCATATGATATAACAGTGTATAATGTAAAGTGCATATGATAGTAACAAGCAGATGCTTTCATTTGTTCTCAGTTGAGCCCTCACGTACCTGGTACCTCATGGATACTACTATACAGTACCTATGAACACGGGATAAGTCTCAAGACATTGTACCACAGAATGGAGGAGGTAGAAACGCCAGTGCTTGTGGCCGTCAAGGACAGTCAGGAATACGTAAGTAATGACCTTTTCTTGGACTGGTTTGGCCGTCAGGGACTAAAGGGGACTGGGACTTAATGACCTAATGGGTCAGGTTAGAGGAACAAGGTACATCTTGGTATAGCTTGGGTACAACTGAGAGACATCGTATAAGCTTTGCTTACGCAGCTTGGCTAACAGTGGATGCCAGTGTTGGCATTTCATGCTAGAACACAATAGCAAGAGCTCTCAAGCGTAACGTCAATCAAATGGAAAACGACTTCCGGGTGCAAAACAAAGTTTTTCTTGCTTCTCTCAATAATAAGATTAGTTGTCCAAAGCTCTAAGATCAAATTGTTTCAGGTGGAGGTAAAGTCATGGGTCAGTATGTTAAATCACAGCTGTCACGTTTTTCTAAAAAAAGATTGTGATGTTATGTATATACGTCACGGTTTTTTCGTGCGACATTCACGTGTGGGATGTCCCGCTGTCATGATGACCCATTGACCCATGCCGGGCCTGCATGATAGCACAGTCTATGTTGAGCCTATGTGGTATGCCTTCACGAGGTCTTCTCGTGATGACACTCAAATGGTTTCCGTACTTACACAAGTATATATACTTCATCTTAAAAGATATAATTTCTGGTTGTAAACTTTTTTATAGTGTGTAGCAATAAACAAAGAATGATAATTACGAACTTTAAGTTTACGATGATGGTTAGTCGAACATTTAGAGAGTCTTTCTTAGTGGACAACGCTCATGACATTTACTGACCATTTTCGAATTAGTCCTTTATCACAGACTCGTTTATACAGGGTTAGCTTCATTTCAGTGTCCAAATATTCACGACTTCGACGATACAAACACTTCGGAATTTCACCGATCTTCACGAGRRTAAATGAATATTCAAAGTAATTCCATGCGAAATTGAGGCTAACCTGTAGAACTGAGAATTCGAAACTGGAGAGTTAAAGTTACTTTGTTCGTGTCATAACCTGAGATACATGAGTTTTTCTTGTTGGGTACAATAAATGATTTTTGTGTGTTTTTTATTTTCATAGGTATTTGGTGTTTTCAGCCCAGTCCCACCCCAAATCCAACCTGGTTTCTATGGTTACGGCAAATCTTTCTTCTTTACTTCAAAACCTCATTTTAAGGTAAAGTAAATACTATGTGCGATTGGTTACGATAAGGCGTGTTAGATTGTTAGTAGTATGACTGACTGACTGACTGACAGTCCTGCGACTAGGTGACCGCCGGACCGAACAACCGAAATATTGCATCATTGATTTATCGATTTATTTATTTATTCAGTGTGTGAGGCGTAGTCGAGTGCTGAGTCCCTTTTTCCCCTTCTTTTTCTTCAGATCTTTCCATGCAGCGGTAAGAATGAATATTATTTAAGTTGCGACATCGACAGCTTGGCGTTTGGTTGCAGCGAGTAAGTACTAGCAAACACAAAAATTAGTGTCCAGTTTCCGCGGTCCCTGAAGGACCGAGGAACATCTTTGTTTATCAGGGGCGGATCCTGAAATTTGTTAGGGGGGGAGGGTGCACCAAGTGAAGAAATGTATATAGAGATATTATGAATCGTAAATGTTTCTTTTGCTTCAAAAAAAGTTAAGAGTAATTACGGCGTTAGGGGGTGTCCGGTGCACCGCAGGACATCCCCTTGGATCCGCCCCTGTTTATAGCCCTTGTTAAAGAGGCTGTAGGTAGTTTTGCTCTGGCACAACTAGCCACATTGAAACGGCTACAACTTCGTCTTGAATAACTCGATCTGCAAGCGCTTTTCACACAATGTCAGGAAAGGATTAAAGGTTTCAAAAATGATAAATTAGTTTAAAGCGGACTTTTCGTTATGACGTAATAGTGACATCATAGAAATCGTTTACCGCTTATCTTCTCGAAAACTAGAACTAAACTTTCAAAACGACTTGCACCAGTCGATAGTATTCATCAAGGCACCCAACATATTGCAATATGAAAAAAAAGTATGAGAGCGTTACGCGATGAATATTTTCATGGACTTTTACTATTATTTCCAGCGTGTCAACTTTATGCTATATTTTAACTAAATAAGACGCTTACATTTTGCTGGCGTTACAAGTCTCTGTACACAGAGCTCTGCAAAGCGTAATCGGTGCAGCCAGCCCTAACAGCACGCGACAAGGAATAACACGGAAGTCAAACGTGAATAAACAACAAGCAGCCTTGAGCGAAAATAGTTGTAAGCGTACTTATTTTTATTTGACTGCCTTAAAACCCTTCAATGCATATGAAATTAAAGGAGAATATTTGTAAAAGATACATCTTTTAGTGACTTCATTTAGAAAAAAATCGTTCGACGATTTTTTGGATGCCGCTTTCATCGATATTTTCTATCGCTTTTGACAGCAAATGGGGTCATTTAGCTTCATGTCGAAAAATCCATAACGTTAGAAAGAAAGTCACAATTTGATTCATATTCAATAAGGAYAGTGTCTATATCCGTACCTATATTCCAGCTACTAAAAATATTGAATCCACTAAATTAAAATCCCGATTTTGAGGGTATAAAGTTGACACGCTGGAAATAGTAGTAAAAGTCCATGAAAATATTCATCGCGTAACGCTCTCATACTTTTTTTTCATATTGCAATATGTTGGGTGCCTTGATGAATACTATCGACTGGTGCAAGTCGCTTTGAAAGTTTAGTTCTAGTTTTCGAGAAAATAAGCGGTAAACGATTTCTATGATGTCACTATTACGTCATAACGAAAAGGCCGCTTTAAACTAATTTATCATTTTTGAAACCTTTAATCCTTTCCTGACATTGTGTGAAAAGCGCTTGCAGATCGAGTTATTYAAGACGAAGWTGTAGCCGTTTCAATGCGGCTAGGTGTGCCAGACCAAAACTACCCACAGCCTCCTTAATGGGAAGTGAGACCTGCCGGAATATCTTGCGTCCAGTAAATAGTATAACTCACTTTTGTTTAGTAGCTTATTACTTTGCTGATGGTATAATTTATTTTCTTGCTATAGTGGTTTATTTGGACTGTGGCTTGACAGTGACCTCTATAGAGGACGAAGCACAGCCTGCGAGACGTACAACAGCGAAGTTTTAGCGTCCAAGGAGGACTTTATAATACTGGGACTAGAAATCTGGACTATTGTATAGCGAATTAGGAAAAATCCACAGTGCATATGAAGATTTATGCTTTGAGCACTGATAACCGATCTTAGCGATCTGTATAATAAACTTGGGAAGATTACAAGAAATGTGGCTTCGCAGCATGTAATGAGCTAAATTAGAACGCAGACGATGTCGCCAAATAAAAGGCTTATGAACAAGGAGGCTGTCAACAATTAGGAAATTCATATGTGGATTCTTTAGTCTGTTCAACGACTTCCAAGGGAACGAACAACAAGGCGAGAATAGTCCGCCATGTTGGATGACATAAACAACGCATTCATCCAACATGGCGACTCTCAAGTTGGCTGTCACATGGTAAAAGCCTTCAACGACGTTGATAGTAGAGTTTAATGCATAGATATTTATAATTAAAAGCCATCCTAAAACTATGAATACCAATACTTAAAAATTGCAACCAAGTTCGATCGCCGATTTCTTGGAGTGTTATGATTCTCAAGAGAATGAAATGACTAAATACGTGACTGTCATGTTGGATGCTACATTCATCCAACATGGCGGCTATGACATAATATAAAAATTATATGTAGGTTCGATCGCCGATTTCTTTGAGTGTAGCGATTCTCAAGAGAATGAAATGACTAAATACGTGACTGCCATGTTGGATGCTACATTCATCCAACATGGCGACTATAAAGTAACGGGATTATAAGTACGAACTATTTTAAAATTGACGAAAAAAATATGATAAAAAGACAAAATGACTAAATACGGGACTGTCATGTTGAATGCTACATTCATCCAACATGGCGGCTATGACGTAATATAAAAATTATATGTAGGTTCGATCGCCGATTTCTTTGAGTGTAGCGATTCTCAAGAGAATGAAATGACTAATTACGTGACTGCCATGCTGGATGCTACATTCATCCAACATGGCGACTATAAAGTAACGGAATCATAAGTACGAACTATATTAAAAGTGACGAAAAAAATATGATAAAAAGACAAATAAGAACTGAAATAGAAGCTACCATGTTGGATAGCCTGGATAGCCTGAATAAGTACTAGTGTTGTCATGGTAATTTAACATGGTTCTAGATGGCATGAAAATAAGAACTGATATCCCCCCTCTTTCCCAGGGGCAAACAAAGGAACCTTAACTAAGGTCTTTCCCTAAATGATAAATAGCACTCAAAATTGACAAAAAAATATTCTTTATTTACTTCACACAACGTACTGAAGAAAAATGTAAATAGATAAAAAGAATAATAGAAAAGATGGAAATGGAAAAAAATAAGATTAACCTAAATGAATTTGAAATAAAACTATTTATTTTAAGAATGAAAAAAGCCATTAGTTGCTTGAATTCTGTTATGGTCAGATAACGTTTACATGTGTTCAACAAAAAAAAAAAACCTTCAAAAGCAGTTCATCTCTTTCCATGCACATCGGTTTTCCCAAAACCTTTGCCTCCTCTCATCCTATTTTTAAGACTACATCTCTCCCACACAACAGCGAGGCCTACCCTCTTGACCTTTTACTTAACATGAATCCTTAATTGGGCTACCTTTGTTTCACGTGTAAATATAGCAGGCAGTCAACGGGAACATGGCGTCCGGTCCAGCAGAACATTATTACCCAAGAGGAACGACCTTTAGTGAAGAAAATCACGATAGATTTATTTTCAAACGGCTTGGACAGATGCGTTACCATTCAGTCTTGACCGATGTGATATTAAATGTTGAAGGTCGGCAGTTTCCCGCGCATAAAAACGTTTTAGCAGCGAGTAGTGATTACTTCATGGCGATGTTCAGTGGACATATGGCCATTGCTAGTAATACTGTTGATGTCCACGAGATATCTGCTGGTGCAATGGAGCTTCTACTTGATTATGTGTACACTGGTTTCCTTGAAATCAATGAAGACAACGTAGAGGATATTTTCTGTGGATCGTGTTTGCTGCTTCTTGACTCAGTTACCCAGGCGTGCTGTAGATTCATTCAAGAACGCTTGACTTTAGATAACTGCTGGGGGATTCGTACTTTGGCGGATAAATTTGACTGTCGAGATATGCTGAATAACGTAAACAAATTCATCGAAGAGAGCTTTACTAAGATTGTTGAAGCTGATGAATATCTTCTTCTTCCAAGACAAGAAATTGCGAAGTTATTGGACGATGATGCTATCGTTGTTCCTAATGAGGAAGTGGTCTTCGAAGCTCTGATGAAGTGGATGAATCATGACCTTGAAAATCGCAAAGCGGACTTTCCATATTTATTGCAAAAGGTGAGACTGCCTCAAGTAAAACCAGAATATTTTGAAACATTTATAGCCAGGAACGAATTAGTTAAAGAAATCCCAGAAGCCAATGAAATAATAGCTGATGCGAGAGAGAAATTCTACAGCTTTGAAGACACACAAGAGATTGTCTGCAACTCTGACAGTACTTTTAATGAAGCAGCAAAGAAACAAAGGGTCAACTGGGAGAGCCCAAGACGATGTCTTAGATTCCTTGAAGTTGTTGTCACTGTTGGTGGGGGTGCACTGTGTGAATTTTTTGATGCAGATTATAATGCCTGGGTGCCAATAACACCTCCTCTTACCAGACACTGCCCAGGATTAGAGACTCTGGACAATCATATTTACATTGTTGGTGGGAGTAAAGAGTGGAAAAGGTCTGACAGATGTGAGAGGTATGACCCAGAGCTCAACGAATGGGTGGTGCTTAGCCCAATGAAGATCACTAGAAGCAATATTGGGTTAGTCAATCTAAATGGGTACCTGTATGCTATTGGTGGTTATGATGGCCGTTCACCTGTCAGGTAAGGAAGTATGGTTTTTCTTTAGTGATAAATGGTTTAGTTTTTTAATTGACTGGTTTCTTATTCTTGATTTTGAGGGGTTATTTGCATAAATACAATAGCTTGTTAACCTAAAAAATATATCCCCTATATCCCCTAAAAAAGTACCAATGTCCTGTCTAGGTGGGTGTTGCAACTAATGATTTTTACCCCTCTCCAAACTTAAGCATAATTTAAATCAAATGATGAATCATTGAATTATTAATATCTGAATGACAACTAGCTGCCACTAAGCTTTCATTATCTAATCTCAGGTATCTTATTTCCTGACAAACACCTTAAGAGGTACTAATTCCTAGACCTGAAACCCTAAGAGTTACAACAAGCATCCCTGCGTTTTTCCAATGAGGGCACTCCCCTCCCAGGCTTGTTTGCATGGCTTTGAAATGGAATCACATGATATTGATGAGCTGCTTTAAGAATATAGTTATGCCATAACATACACCATATCAATTATAACTTTGGTAGCTAGTCATTGCTTGAGACTTGTGCCATCTGACATAAAAGACAGTATTGTTGACCTTCCAAAGTGTATGACATATTGAGAGGGACATGGGTGGTACTAAAAACTGCAAATCCACAAGGGGGAAATGCAAAAAAAAACAACAAGAATTCGCAAAGAAAATTGAAAAAAATCAAAATGTTTAAAATCCACACATTTCATCAAGATGTGATGAAAATCTCTTGGCTACCTCTTACTTTAATCAAAAATATGAACTTTCACCAAAAGTCTTGTTCACAAAAGTTCTTTGATTATTCATAATTTAGCCAATTATGTCATTATTTATCGTCGTTTGTTTAATTGCAGAGTTGTTGAGTGTTACAACCCCAAGAAGGATGAGTGGACATATGTGAAGGAAATGAACAATTGTCGTGATGGGGCATGTGTTGTGAGCGATGGCATGTATATCTATGCAATAAGTGGTTATGATGGAAATAACTACCTAAGCAGTGTCGAGGTGTATGATCCAATCTCTGACAAGTGGACAGTAGGAGGTAGGAATTAAACGTCAACCCTTATGAGGACGCATATTGATAGCAGTTTTTATAACTGAAATGGCCATGATCCTGTCAAAATGTGTTGTTGATATTATTATTATTGTTATTATTATTATTTTTTTAACATATATTATTATGATTAGTTTTTACTATAAATAGATTTTATGGTTATACATTAGTAGATATATTTTTATTATAGTTTTTTTTTTCTTGTTTTCTCTTTTTTTCTTTTATTTATTAATTTGTTGCAAATATATTTAGATATTTTATATATAGATTTTGATCACATTCTTTGTCTAGGATCCTACGATAATGCACTGTTAAAGCTACTGATTGTTATTAATTTTTAAATAAAATTATTATTTWAAAAAATATAATTATTATCATTATCATTATATTTATCATTATCACTATCATTATCATTATTATTATCATCATCAGTGTCTGTTGTCCCATTTCTTACCACATCATTCTTATCCAGGGCTGAAAATAATGTCCATTCATCAGACATTTTCCAGCCAAAATTGGAACTTCTTTTGTCAAATCTGTGCCTATATTTTGACAAGTAAAGTTGAGCCAGAAACTAGTTATAACTGAGCTAAACTTAACTGGGCTAGTGCTCATGACTGGTGACTAATATAGTCGTGCATTGTGACTGAACAAGAGGAAAGGAAATGATTTTAGCTTGAATGCAATGTTCAACCACTTCAGATTATAAAATATTTAGGCACATATGTCTGCTAGGTAATGCATTTCAGCATTCAATTTCTTTTGCAATTCCAGTTCTACGTGTAAATCAAAAATAAATACTGTAAATGCTTTTTCCATAATATTTTTTCCACAATTTCATTTTTATTTTTATCAGAAGTTGACCCTATTGTTGAGCGAAGAGAAGATGCCATGGCTGCAGTAGTTGATGGAAAAATCTACGTCATTGGTGGGGAACACCACAACACCTTCTTGGCATCAGTCGAAGAACTTGACTTGGATACCATGAAATGGGACTTCAAGACCCCTATGAGTGGGTCCCGTTACCAAGCAGGTGTAGCTGTGTTAAATAAAACAATTTATATCTGTGGGGGGTGGACTGGGGAAGGTTTGGCTTCTTCCTCCGTTGTTTGCTATGATATTACTACCGATTCTTGGTCTGAAGTTGCTTCGTTACCAGCGCCTTCAGCTGCTCGCACCACATCTTGTCGTTTCCCTCGTACTCAGATAGAAAGGCTTAGGAAAAGCAAGAATAGGAAATCTGGGAATGGAAGTGATGCAAACAATGCCAATAATGATCTTGGGATAAAATTAACTTAATGGATTTTTTTCTGGGAGGGTGGAAGGTGGGTAGGGGGAGGGGGGGGGGGGGGAGAGGTTGAGGGAAGGTGGAAATTTCGAACTAATGTTAGACATTTTGCCTCCAGGGACACAAATATGTGATCAGTGCCTTCTTCAAGTTATTTATATCACCTCTCTGTTTATATATAGAATTTTAATGAGTCCTCAATAAATTGTGTCATTTGGTATCAAGGGAGTTAGATATCTCAGCTTTTTATAAATGTCTGAAACTGGGATGTAATATCATAGTTGATAAATATGGTAATATATTTTTGCATGTAATTTGAAGCAAAAAATCGAGGCAAGTTTTAAGAAACGATTTGTGAAAGGGTGTGTTTTGATTGTGTAAGATTTTAAAATAAAAAAGTCTGACAACGCTCGCTTTTTGGTGGCAAGGACTAGTCATTGTTTAGAGAGGGAGACGCTTATTGTAAAATGAGGTATCCCAAAATATGCTTAAATTTTGCATGCTCTCTCTCCATGAAGTACACTTTTGTTAAATGCGTACATAAATTTACACGACGTTCCCTATTTGCACCTCCCACCCCCCACCCCCCATCTAGATAATGACTGGTCCTTCATAAATGGAGAATTGTAGTATAAATACATCTAACCATTATTTGATATTATATTTGTAGGCAATTAAAAATCTTTTTCTTAAGATTAAAATATTTTTTAGGCATTCTATTCTGTTAGTACTGTATAATTATTTTGCTTCTGTCCCTGAGAGTTGAGCGTTGTGTGTATATAATATTGAATGTAGTGGAAATGTGGTGTGTGAGTGAAAAGTGTCTCCAACTAATGCGAAAGCGCTAAAACGACTAGACACTTGAATAAAAGTGATTTATATTTATTTATTTTTATAATGGATCCATAGATAATGAGATTCTTTTAACTCTGACGAAGGACTAGCGTCCGAAACGTTGGTAAGTTTTTCATCTTTTCACTGTGTAAAATTTACCCTTTTGTCATTAATGGATCCTTAGGAAAGTGAAGGCATTGTTCGATTCAGGTTGCTTGGATTTTAGAAATAAGATATTGCACAAGTATTTTAGCAGAATTTTAGCAGCCCTCAAGGGCAGATCCAGCCAAAATTTTAGGGGGGGGCTAAATTGAGTTTCTTCCGTCAACACAACGAAAAACAATAAAAAAGCATAAAAAAGCAATTCTTTAGTTTAGTTTTGTTTTTGTTTCTTTTTCTGCTGAAGGGGGGTCAGCCCCCCCCCCCCCCCCCCCATCCCAACGTTTGCATCTCATATGCTTGATGAGAGGCTTACTGATAAATAATGAACAAAATATACGAGCGGCTTAAATTTTACTATATATTCGCTATCACAGGAAATCGCGAATTATTCATCTCATGGAAAAGGCTTGTACGGTACAAGGGAATTTGGTAAATGGTAGTGTATATGACCTTCGACCTTTTGAAAGGGCCATTTGACCATTTGAACTCTCAATTGCACAGGCAACCCATCGGGAGGAATCTGACAGCGAAGAAATGATCGGAGAAAGACTGGGGTCTATTCAACACAGGTGCTCTGTCCTGTCATTAAATAAAAAGCCGTAATATTACGGCATCGATGTTTAGAAATGGAGGGTCATATAATTGGAGTGATTGTAGCCTTATTAGCAGTGACCCTAACTGGAACATTTCTTTCACCATTGGAACCTGAAAAGAAACTCTTTGCTCTTCGGATCCAACTTCTATTCGTATTTTTACTCGCGTTGTTTATGTTGTCGCGCTTCCTTTGGTTTCGCATCACAAGTTCCTTCAGTCATAACTCACGAGCTAGCAAGTTTGTCAGGCTCATATTAATGATTATTTTAGGACTTGGTAATTCCAGTATTATTATAGGACATTATTTCGTAGGTGCAGAACCGTATTTCCTCACGATATTAGCTTATTTGTGTTTGGGATTCATGGTGCTGACATTTCTAAATATTCTTGTATGGAACACCTTGTTGTCGGTATTGAGCCTCCTTAAGTTTCCATGGCAACGAGAAAAATGTCTAAAGATAGTCAAAGCTGGCATTGTTTTTATATCTCTTGTTATTTCTTTTTTGATGTGTGTATCTGGCTGGTACACAGCAATGGGAAAATCAAAAATGGTTGATGTTTCTATTCCCATATCTAAGCTTCCAYTCGCTCTGAATGGGACAAGGATTGTTCAACTGTCTGATATTCATCTCGGACCCACTGTGGGAAAGTCCATGCTTGAGGATGTTGTTGCCATGGTAATGGCCAAGAAACCAGATGTTATAGTAATAACAGGCGATTTAATAGATTCAAGTGAGATGTCATTAGTTAATGCAGCAGCACCTTTGGGAAAGCTTGAAGCAAAATATGGTAGCTTCTTTGTCACTGGTGGGTAAATTGAGGACAGAATTACAAGGAATCTAGAATATTACACAACTTGTCCTCCCAGGGGGGGTTGGGGGGATTCAGGGATAAAACTATTGGGTGTATGCTAATTGTATCTCTTAGGGGTAATAATTAGCAGTTTGATATCTTTTACGGTGTAAAAATTGAAATTTAGAATTTCAACATATCTTGGTATCTTTCAGAGTATCTCTTAGGGGTTAAAAATTGTCCCACCCCCCTCCCTGTTATAACACAAACTAAAATTGAAATGGCTTTCCATTTTTATGCAATTCGTTAATTGAAGGGTCATGTGACATCATTGACATTGAATCAGGGGTACAGTTGTATATCTAGGATTTTGGGTAGGAGGTGGGAGGGGTCATAAATTCAAATTTGGATTTTAAAAGGACTTTTAAGATCCATGGCTCTACTAACCAAATAGTTCCAAGTTACAATGGAGAGGGAGTCACAAAATGTAGAAGATGCACCTTTTGCTAATGATCAACTAACTAGCTCCAAGATGGAAAGGGGGGTCACTGGCATCCTAAGACCGCCCTATAGATACGCGAGTATGCCATATTTTTCCAGCTTTTATAGAATGGAATTGTTCTTTTTAGGTAATCATGAATACATAGCAGGAAATGTAAATACCTGGTTTAGAGAACTAAAAAAGCTTGGAATAATGCCACTGCACAATGAACGAGTAAAGATATCTGATTCAAGTAATTCTGAAGACTTTTTCTACTTGGCCGGGGTAGATGATATTCAAGCTAATTCTTTTATGTAAGTGTTTCTAGTACTGGTTCTGATCACATTAAAAAAAGTTTTTTTAAAGATTTATTATGTTGATAACTGGGGAATAGCTTAATGTAAAAATCTACACTTCTTAGTACAGCGGATATGATATCAAATAGGTAAATGTACGAATCTGATTGGTTCCCTGATGAACCTCAAAATACTCAAAATCCTACAGTTCCAACTAACCATCCAATCACTCTCAACTCCAGAGCCCTGAAATTTTTACTGTGCATGGCCAACAAAATGCCTGAGACTCTGACTTCTAGCCCGCAGTAGCCAGAAATCTGGCCACCTAGTATGTACATAATGCACATGCCCAAATTCGAATTGATAGAGTTTGTGCTTTTGCTCCCAGAATCAACAGTCATTTTTATTTTACTATGAGCTACTGGGGTAGGGTTGGTCTTTAAAAAACTCTCTGTGTGGTGGAGTGGGGGTATGGACAATTTCTGTAACTACATAATAAGAAGACAAGTATTGGGTTCAAAGGACCATCCAATTTGAACTTCTAAAATCCTCCTTTCTGTCATTAAAGTAAACCATAAAACTGTGAAAAAATTGACAAATATCCTTATTCAAGACCTTATGCTTATCTATATATTTCTTCTATGAAAAATTATTAATTTTATGGATTTTAACTAAAACTAGTTTTATTTTCATATATTTTTWAAAATAATGTTATAAATTAAATTTATGGATGATAATATGATTTTATACTATGATTATAGTATAGTCAAAGCTGTATACATTTTTTCAATTTATCACATAGGTTCCCTGGACATGGCATGAACCTTCAAGAAGCACTCCAAAGTCGTCAAGCTAAGTATCCCACAATTCTCCTTGCTCATCAACCTCAAGCTGCAAAGTTAGCATTGAAAGAATATAAGGATATTGACTTGATTCTGTCTGGCCACACACATGGGGGTCAATTCTTTCCACTTCATATACCAATTTACTTGTGGAACCCTTTTTTTGCTGGTTTGTATCACCAGGAGGGAACTTGGATTTATGTGTCATCAGGAACCAAGTATTGGGGTATTCCGCTTAGAATAGGATCTCAACCGGAAATCACCACAATAACTCTTAAAAAAGAGTGAGATAAAATTAAATATTTATTTCAAAATTCATATAATTATATCCAATGCAAAAAAATATATATTGCCTTTTTAAGTCGAAAAAATATTATGTGCACTGGCCGGGAATCGAACCCGGGCCTCCCGCGTGGCAGGCGAGAATTCTACCACTGAACCACCAGTGCAACTCATGAACGTGTAGCTGAATTTTCACTATTTATTATCTTGTGTTTATGATTATTTATGATTTAAAGCGTTTATGATGAAGCGCTTGATGAAGGATAAAGAGAAATAAAGAGTACTAAAAAGCACATACAGTGATAAAAATATGTTTGTTTTCTTTTGTTCCATTCTGTCAGCTTTATATATTTCCCGTTGACTGATTGGTTGTTACGAAACAAAAGGTCAAATAATCTTGTATAAATTTCTGATATTTGATTAAGTTTTGACACCCCACCTCCTTTTTAGAAACGTCCCACTGAGAAATATTTGAATATTTCTAACCACGTTTTCTTTGTCGTTTTTCGCTAAATAAACATAGTCTTTAAGTAGTCCGCGTTTTCAAGATATATTTGAAGCGTCTCTAGGCAAAGTGGAATTTAATATCTCGCTGTCTTGCTGTGTGCTCCTGTGGTGCTGATATATCCTGTTTTGAGGCTGGATAGTATTGCAAAACGTGCCAAGACATTAACCAGCAAGGTATAACAAGATATTTCAGTATATGTCCTTTGGTAAGTATTAGAGTAATATTAGGAGAGACAGAGAGACATTAGAGACATTAGGAACTAAACTTACATAATATCAGTATTCAATTATCACTAATACTTTAATATCTACGTTTATTTAAATTTTAGTTTTGTGTTGTGACTAATTTTGTATTTTTCTTGGAAGTTTCTAGATTTCAAAAGTTTTCTTCCATCCTTGAGAAAAACGAGCAAGAAAGCTTAATACAACAGTTTTCCTTCAACATTAGCATTATCAGGTAAGCTGCTGTTTTGGAAACTCATTCTCCTTCGAAAATTGAACTCAAAGGTATAAGCTTGAATATAATTTATTTAAATGTCTTTTGAGTATGTTTACGTGTACTACATTTAGGAATTAAAAACTCTGATTCCGTGCCTTGGCATTAAAAATAATAGATATCAATTAGTTCATTTTGATAGTCAAGTCCAGTATATACTATATTCCAGTAGCCTAGTGGTAGGATATCCACGTGTAATGCATTAATATATATTTTTTCGTTTGAACTAAAAGCAAAAACCGAAGTAATAAGCATTTTAGGTAGGCAGCGTTTTCTTAAACTGTGCAATTCATTTAGCAAATTTATTTAGGACGTAGTTTTTTATTTGTCGGTGATTGTTGCATTATCGTAGGAGACTGGTTACTAGTCTATGGTCATACTACCTGTGCATATGCATAAGTACTGTCTAGGAAGTATAGCTCGATATTCGATTATTGCCAGTTCGAGCTTTACGGGAGACTGCTTGGATCGTTGATGTCGTTTCAAGGTGAGAATATTAATCAAATTGACGATTAAAAAATTTAACATTCGGTATCTTTCCCGCAATGCGATTTTACATTTTCATTTCTTTCCCATAGACCAAACAATATTCTTTTTTTACGAGCTTTAATTCTCTTGAATATAAATCTTAAAGTCGTGGGAAATTGCAAAGAAAACCTGATGTTTTCTGCGTATTTACTCTGACTCATATTTTCCTAATGGTAATATATATCATAATATATCTCTGCTGTCAAATTCTTCATTCAAAGATCTTCGATGAAGACGTTGGAAATAATAAAGTAATCCAAAAATAGCCGGTATAAGCCTTAGATTTTTAATTTTGTCTTTCCTATAATCGTTTTCTTTAACCGCATACGAACTATTCGTGGCTGATGTGGATTTGTTTTACCCACAAAATGAACACTGACTAGTTAGGGGTGTTGGCTTTCATATATTCATTCCTATAATTTTCATGCAGAATATATATTAAAGTTAGTAGTATTTAAATGAGTCCCTGATTAGCTGTCAGAAGCTGGAGAGAATAAGAACGGGTGCAATAACCTTTATTTGTGACACTATTTACCTCGGACTCCAGGCTCGTTAAAATATTCATTCTGTTGACATTCGGGAGAAGCGAGGAAAATAATCGCCAAAATTGGCACCATAGAATACGTTTTGAAAACGCATTCAAAGGTTAAAAGGTGAGTTACTTTGAAGATACGATTATCAAATCCAAAAATTAGAAAAATAATCACAATTCCAATTACATTTTAACCGATTTATGGACTTGAAAAAAAAAGGGAAGTTTGTTTTGTCGAAAAGATGGCTCCTGTATTTTTTGGTATCAGTGTTTTTAAGCTCTGGGCTCGTTAAGTATGGACTTGGAAAACACCTGTCGTACGAATACACTTGGAAACCCAAACTTGGAGCTCGCTTCAAAATGCATAATTTTATTCTTTAAAAATTAGTAATGGGAATAAAACATTACAACGGAGGACAATAACTCGTAGAAATAATAAAAACATTATACAAGCAGATCCAAGGAACGTACGCAAGGCAAGAAGAGACAATTTCCAAAGCAGGAATAATTCTATTTTCATTTCGTTCGAGCATAAAAGTGGCCTATTAAGTGAGCAGAAATATAGAAGTACGAATGAATTATAGCTGTACTTAATTTTTACAGTGATACTAGTCTACTTTTAAGACGCAACTCTTGTAAAAAATGTTTCAAAAATTAGGTGGGATGGGCGTTATGTACGTCGCTTCATGTCTCCGAAGAATTATATTTTTTAACCGTTCTAACATTATCCTTGAGTCATAAATTCTACGCCAAAATATTTAAGACAGAATGTTCGAATAACAAGTTGTCAGGTTACCACGCAGGATGGTATTTTTAGAAATTATTTTGTCGGCGATTAATATTTTTTTTACCTTTGTGGTTAGCTCGGTTTAATTTATCTAGTCTTTTCTCTGCCGCATTTCAAATGTCCCGTAATTTGCATGTCTGCCTTGCCATGTCGAATCTATTGGTTTCGTAAACTAAAAAACCACTTGAAAAATCAATAAAACTAATCAGTATTCTAACCATATTTATTCTTTTATTATTTTTACTCGTATATTAATTTAAAATTCATTATTCTAACTTATTTTAAATTCATGTTTAATTGGAAAATATTTGTTTTGGTAGCGCTATTTATTTCCCGCCTTTTTTGACGGAAACGCATCAGCGCGAGTTGAATTATTCATTGTTATTGGTGTACAGTCGTTCATACCATGCAAAATTTTGTGTCACGCAAATACTCTACTGTATAAGATTGTTTTTGACTTTTTTGACTTGGATTTTATTTCTTTTTTTTCCTAACGAATAAATCATTTTCAATTTATATAGTATAGTAGTAATAAATTAACACATCGGACTGGAATACCGAAGACGTGGGTTTGATTCCCGCCAAGGGCATTTGATATTTTTCTCTTATTTTCTCATTTTCAATTTATAGATCTATTGAAAATGACGGAAGAAAATAACAATGGCGGCAGTCATTCGGATTGGTCGGAACTGACTGGTGACGTAATTGTGTGCTGTGGAGGCTACGAAGGTCGCTATCAGTTGGACACTGTGGAAGCTTACAGCGAGTCGACAGGGGACTGGACCGAACTTCCTTCAATGCCATTCGCACGTGACAGTATGGCCGCAGGGAGTCTTGGGAAGGTTATAGTACTGGCTGGAGGTTCTGATCGCAAGAGTCCGTTTGATGACGTCATTTTGTTTAACTGGAATTCCAAGGAATGGAGCAAGGGAACTCCGATGCCTTCTGCGCGTGCGTATGCAGCTAGTGTAATGGATGAATCACGTGGTAAGCTGCTGATCTCGGGAGGGTATAATAACGTTGAGCTTAACTCATGTCAGGCATTCGAAGTAGAAACACAAAAATGGCTGGACTTGCCAAACATGCCAAGCGCAAGGGCAAGGAGTGGTGGTGCCATAGCAAATGACCATTTCTTCGTGGTAAGTGAAAATTTCACATAACATACTTATTCCACACTGTTAACCTTTACATGAGTGATTTTTTTTTTAAATTTACGGAATAAATACTTTTATAGATTGGCGGTGACGTCATGCGTCGACCGACTAACGTCGTAGACGCGTTCAGTATCCAAGAAAATAAATGGGTCAATTTTCCCGCCATGAAATCTAAAAGAAGGCGCTGTGCCGTGGTAGCAGGTGGCGACAAGATTATTGTGGCTGGAGGGCTTACGTCAGATGACATTACTTTAGACTCGATGGAAATGTTCGACATGCGCAACCGGAAGTGGATGGAACTGCCCACCATGCCGTGCGCGAAGTTTGGTTTCAGCGCATGCGTAGTGGGTACTGAGATGTTCTTACTTGGTGGTAACGAACGAATGAAGATGAAAGCTTGTTGCAACAGATGTACCTCGTTCGATTTGCTATCTAGGGAATGGAAGAGGGTCCCTCCCATGATGTATCGAAGACTTCATGCAAGCGGTGTCAAGATTTCTGTCTAATTTTTCATTGACGCGTATCAAGCCTCGTATCAAGGTGTCATTTTCAAGTGATAAATATTTGAGTCAGTTGATCGACGAATTTTGTTAAAAAGAATGCTAAAGCTAAATGCTAAAGCAAGAAGAACAGTTGAATGTACTGTCAGTGCTAGTTGTCCTGAATATTGGATCGCATTACGTACAATGATTATGATGATAATACATAACATTGATGAAGATGATGGCGACTAACTTATTCATCACAATCATGTTCTTTTCTATTGTATTTTGTTTCTGAAGGTGGGTTGGTACGCGACAAGTCAGCAAAAGTATAACTTGACCAAAAGGATCGTCGATACCCTTATATATGTCATTGGTATGATTATATGATTATTAAGACTAAGTAAATTCAAAAATAATAGCATTTACTGTTTAAATGCAGTAAATAATTTTGATTCCTGACCAATAGTGATCCAGTGGTTGTGTCTACAAAACGTACTTAGTTTTAGTGAGCAAATTAACTATGAGGAGTTAAGTATCACGAATCGCATTTTCTTTGTTTGTCAAGTACTTGAATAACTAGACTGTTAACATTCCCTCTTTTCCCTCCTAACTCAATTGAGTCGAATTTTTTCCCTAACTTGGTCGCGCGGGGAGTGGGGCGAGTTTGAAGCGACACGCGCGACCTGAAAGGGAAAGAACCCCGACTTGAATGAGTTAGAAAGGAAAAGAGGGTCTGTTAACAATCTAAATAACTCTTAAATCAATCCTTAAAAATCGATTGGTCGTTTACATCATTCAGTGGAAAGAACCCCTTGATACGATGCTGGTGTTATGCACCGTTACCCAGTTCTCTATTCTTTACAAAGAAGAGAGAACTGCGAACAGGTGCACTAGGTTTATTTTCTAACATTCTCAGATACACAGACTCTACTCTATGCTTAGTAAAATCATAGAATTTGGTTAATGAGTAGGGTCTAGGTACGAGACTGGATTTTCTAATTTTTAGCCAAAAAAGTTAACAAAATTTAGTTATGACTCGAATGTACGTTCGAGAAAATTTTCAAATTTTAGTATTAGATTATTTCATATTTTTTCAATGTATTGGTATTTAGAATGAAGTGTTAATGTTTTCATGCGTAGCTTGCTTAACTGACGCGCTAAACCTGTCGGGTTAGGCACCAGTCCTTTCGCTTTACTTACTTTAAGTTAGGAAGTGAGCTGGAACCAATGAAGACGGGCACGTTTTTGAAACTACTTTTCATTGTTCAGTTGTAATTTAGCTTGCTTCGAAATTCCGTTGCTGGGGTTTCGTTTTTGGTGTTGCTGTTTGTAGTCCATTAAATGCTAATCTTAAATTAAATTTAGGATCATTTAGTAAAGCTCAGGGGTGGGTTTCCTGTGCCATTTATTTGCTAGTTTTGTCAGCCAACATGGCGACCATTCAAATATTAGGAATTCTTGTACACGAAGGATAGCCTTAATTTAGGAAATTAAAACTTGTTACATCATCAAAAGATGTTCGTTATGTATAAGCGACTTTTGGTGTTTTCTTTTTCAACTTAAAATTCCTACGTGGTAAGTGTTTGGCATGATTTTGTTGCTGCTGTGATAATTTTTTTTTTGTGCCTGCATGTTTTAATGTCCGCCATCTTGGTTGAACTTCAGATAAACGAATTGTCATTGGTCTCTCATGTCAACCAACATGGCCAACATGGTTTTTTGTAATTTCATTTCCTTGGGAATGATATCAAAAAAAAAACCATGTAGGACAATGTAAAAAAATCAAAGAATTCTTTCAATGATTAATACTGATCGAACATACTAATCAAATCTTACAAATCCAGTGACTAACATACAATTATGATRATCCATAGTGAAACATAGTTTCATGCGTAGTACGATAATAACAATCACAAACTTACTCTAGCAATTTTTTTAATGTAAATTCAAATAAACTTGAGCTAATCACAGGAGTCACGCTTAAATATCTGAAATTATTTGGTTAATATTTGAACCTCGTTAGAATAAAGACGTTGTGAAAGGACATTGTGTGGTTTGACTTGAAGAGACCTTTCTTACCTTGGGTGTAACGTTTTCCCATTTCATACCAAGTGCCAAGCCCTTGAGTATCATTTCTTTTATGGTTGTGCTTGAGAAGACACTGCATCAATAGTGACACAATTGGAGCAAATCCGAAATGGTGGCCTGCGTTGCTTGGTGGTCTGCGGTTGTTTTTTACCTTTTGTTAGAGTAGGAGCCCGCATACCGCAAAGCAACTCGCAATCTAGGTTTAAAAATCGTCGAGGTCGCAGAAATAAAGTTCTGTACTGATGTCGTGAGATTAGTGAATTTTCAAAATGTTTTATTTGGACTGTAGGTCCTGGTTTTCGGATTAGCCCCGAGTCTATCGATTTGACGTGCGCCGGCAGTAAATGCCCGCGCATGCGCAATGTATTCACGTCTACTGGCACTTTCGAATATCAAATTAGGTGCAATAGGATTCAGACACCAATCCGACTATTCCCAGGATGATAAAAATGATAAAAAGAAGGGATTTTCAGTCTTTCTACCTCGATCCTGGATTCTAAAACACGATCAAGTAGTTCCCAGTCCTCCCCGCCCCAGTTTTGAAATTCTTTGACATTCATTCCTCCGACTCGGTCAAAATCTGACTTGAATAACGCAAAGAGACCAAATCCAAGCGTTTCCCAGTAACCAAATGGTAGTTCAGGATAAAATCCGCATTTGAGACGCTTTACTACTGGAGCGAATGCCATCTTGCCTTCWACGCAATGCTGTAAATGAATGAAAATATAGAAAGATAGTTTTTGAAGCAAAAAAATTTTCCAGACCCCTGCCTAATAGCTTTGATGTTTTTCAGGTACCCCCCTTCAATCGTTTAAAAAATCCTCCCAATCCTCCTTTTGACCTTCGAAGGTCCCCCTTATTCCAGTAAAAAAAAATTGGAGGGGCCCCCATCTTCTCCTCCACCCCCCCACCCCCCACTCCCTCCGACTTAAATAATGAACGGTCCCTTAGTACGGGCTCGCTATCTAAACGGACTAAAAAGTTGTTGCTCACCTTGCGGACGGTTTCGATCAGTTTTGCGGGAATTTTAAGATTCAAATCACAAAAGAACAGAATGCTGTGAGGATCCTTGACAGCATCAGCCCCCTTCTGCAAAGCTTCTGCTCTGTTGAATTTCTTGTTGCCAGGCAACGTCACGACTGTATACCGACTGAGAGAACTTTTCTTTAGAATAGCTTCGACGTCGATGTCGGTGCTTTTGTAATCAATGATGACCACGTGGATATGAGGGTCACGTGTTTTGTATATGATATCTGTAAAAGTGATAAAGTTTAATAAGACATCTCTAACTCTCTAACTATTGCTGAATAGGAAGGAAAAAAAGACTCTTCCACTTTCTTTCTTCTTCCTTCTTTCTTCCAATTTTTCCTATTCTTATTCTTTGGAAATCTTTGGAATAGCATGGAATCTCTTATTAACTATTTCCGTTTGGGAAGAAAAAAGAGACTCTTATACTTCTCTTTTCTTCCTCCCATCATTTCCTACCCTTTTCCTTTGGGTCTCCCGGTTCTTGGTTTTCATCCCTCCTCAAATTCTAACAAGTTGTATTCCAATTCATTTTATTAGCCGCGCCCTGACTCTGATCAACCCAGAGGTACTTATCGATAAACTATGAAGGCTTGCTGATTTTTAGTGCAGACAGAAAGAAAAAGCTAAAGTTAGACCTACCTGCAATATTCTTGATGAAGTACAAAGCCCACCGACCACTGTTTTTCAGAGGCACAATCACATTCACAGTTGCATGTTTGCTCCAACGAAAACCACGAGGAAAGCACAGGTAGCCCGCGTCTCTTGGCTGGTACAGAAACTCGGAGAACTCGAAATGTCTTTTGCTGTACAAATCTTCGATTTCTATTTGAATGTGGTATCGATTTCCTTTGACTTTGTCGACCACTCTCTCCATTGTCATCAATTTAACCACTTTAAAAGTTCTGACAAAAATAATAATCCATAAAGGCGCTGAAATACGAGACACAAAAACGTCCAACTTGTCGCGCAACATTGTTGCGGTGCAAGTTCGAAAACAATGTTGCTCGTTTTACATCCTATCTATCCAACTTGTCACGCAACAAAATCTTTTGTTGCAAGTTGGCAAAACTTGTTGCGAAAAGTAGAACGTAGATCAACTTTCTGCAACAAATTTGCAATTTGTTGCTCGTTTTTCATCACTCGTCCAAATTGTCACGAAAACTTGGACCCAGCGTGCTTTGGGAACCAAAATACTCGTCCACAGTCTCTCTCGTCATAATATTTTCAAGATGGCGGCGAAAAAGAGAGAGACTGTGGACGAGTATTTTGGTTCCCAAAGCACGCTGGGTCCAAGTTTTCGGGACCCATAAGTCCTTTCGGTCATTGTACCGTTACAGTCTCTAAGCGTGGAGACGGAACGGACGAGCGAGAGACTGTGGAAGAGTCTAAATGTCGACCGTGAGCTTCCCTGAGCTACAATTCAAAGGTCAAGAGCAATGCTTTAGACATTCCCTCTATCTTGCACGAACATCTTTAGGGGGATTGAGGGGTGAGAGTTCAAGCTTAGTTTAGGTTAATATACTGTGAGAGAAAGAAAATTGGAAAAGAGTTTTGTCCAAGTACTACTCACAACACGCTTACCCATTATACTTGTCCTCCAAAGTTTTGGTAAACATTTTCCCGATATGCATCGCGGTCTCATTATCGATGACGTCATTACCATAGTTATTTTCAATCCACCATATGTCATCGTTCATCACCATTGGAAGAGTTTCGTTGGTCTTGTCAGGCGGGTACACCTCAGTAAAGTGAGTATTACTTTTGTTTCGAGCTCCCTGTTGGCAAGAGAATATATCATTAATGAGGCTTTTAGTGATGGTTTACTCAAAAGCGTATACTACTTAAACCATCACTGCACACTCACTGTGGTAACTGTTTATATTTAATATTTATTTATATATCTTTCTATAAAATCTAGTATGATTTGTAAATGTAAACAATTATGATTTGTTATTCAACTCTATATAAAGTGTGTGAATAAAATTGAATTGAATTGAATTGAAGTTTTTTTATCTAGACTTTGTTGCTTACTCCTGATTGGTTCAAGTTTGACTTAAGTACTATTCCTTTGTTTTCGATCTATGTTGTGATTGGTTAGATTCCTTCAAGTGGTCCGGGTTAGTGTGTCCGCACAGTTATACCACCAAGATGGCAGCCTAGTCTTTGTTAGTTTTCTCTCTCATAAATGCTTACAAACCATCAATTCACATGAAGATAGAAAGTTAGAGAAAGAGAAGAAAAATAGGATCAACTAGATTCTCATTTTCTCGATTTTTTCCCTGCTTGTTCTTTTTAAGTTCCATTTAAGTAATAACCGTAGTAAAGGGGAAAATTGAGCTCTATCTAGATAGCTAGCATGAAAGAAAAACGAAAGCTTTTTTTTTTTTCAAATAACAGCAGTTCAGTTCTTGGTTATATTAAAGAGGATCATAGTGTTCTTAGTTGACAAAAAGGACTTGTTTTCCAAGCCAAATTGATTTTAAATCGTTAAATCTATCAGCAATATTGAATAATCAGCGTGACAGCTGACACTCCACGTAGCAAGGACTACCGTTTGCATTCTGGGACTCATCAATCACCTCAAAATTGAATCTACTTTAACTTTGAGCAATTTCAATGTCAGTTAAATTTTCAAGTAATGTAGTACAAAATGTAAGAAAACTAGCTACGATAAAGGACAGTTTGGTTTTTGGTCGTAAAATTGGAATCAAAGCATAGAACGAGCTAAACTTAACGAGTATGCCCGTATCCTAGCAACCAGAGTGACACTTTGAAGTGCTTGTGTTCAAAACTCACCTGAAATCTCACCAATTTCTCTTTTATGTAATAACTTGGTTCATATTCGCATTCAGGGAACGCATCTTCAAAGTCTATGAAATCCATAAAAAGCATTTGGTTGATTCCTTGTATATTGACTTTTCTTTTCCTTTCAGTATAGTCTTTCACCGTTACAGTGTTGTTAGGAATATGGCTGTCGTTCACAGCTAAGGACAAGTAACTTCCAGAAATAATCTGAAAATCTGAAGTTCCTGGCTTCATCCAGGCAACTTCGACACCATACGAACCCGTGCCATGCTTATAAATGACTTCTATAAAATATTTCCCATCTTTTTGGAGAGTTACTGACTTGGAAATTTGACTTGGAAATTTCTTAAAGTTCCCTGAGTAATTTGTATTCCTTTCTTTCTCAGGACCCACAAATGCCATAAACTTATTATTCCTCGGTTTTGCATCAGTACTTATCCATAATTCTGAGTTTCCTGCAGACGCAATTCCAAACTTGTAAGTGCCAGATTCATTTGGATGAAGGAAGCCAAACATTCGCACTCCCAAATCGTTCATATTTGTTCCTTTGGCTTCAAACTTGTTGATCATAAGTCTAAACCTTGGCGCACTTGGAAAGAGTATAAACTCCTTCAAGTTCCGAACTTTATCTCCACAAACACTATCCCAGATGTGCAAATTTAGAAATCCAAAATATGAAGTTTTCTTTTCCTGGGTGTTCAATTTTGTAGTCAATTTTGTTGGTCTCTCTTTTTTCACAACTTTCGACTGTTGCTCCATACTTGAGGATTCGTTGAAATCCTTTTGGGCCTTTTCAAGCTTGGTGTTATTTTTACTTGCATAAAATTTTTCAGTTTTTACCTCAACTTTTTCCTCAACTTTCGACTGTTGTTCCATACTTGAGGATTCGTTGAAATCATTTTGGWCCTTTTCAAGCTTGGTGTTATTTTTACTTGCATAAAATTTTTCAGTTTTTACCTCAACTTTTTCCTCAACTTTCGACTGTTGTTCCATACTTGAGGATTCGTTGAAATCATTTTGGRCCTTTTCAAGCTTGGTGTTATCATGAAATCTAAGTACGTCGTTTTTATTATTTAAATCGACTCTCCCATCATCTTTATCACCAAATCTATAGTTACCTACAAGTTCTATTTCTTGAATTCTCATTCCAAAAGAATCCATCTTTCTCATGTCTTTTCTTTTTTCCAACGATCCAGAATCTTCAGAGAAATATCTTGCGAGGATTTCTGAAACATAATTAACTGCTCGACCCTCTCTTCTTTGCCATTGCACAGTTAAACTGTTTTGAAAATGGAAGAGTTGAAAAATCACTACAATTAAGGACAGAATCATAAGAAACATGATCTTTTTACGAAGCGAAGGCGAGAATGCCCAGTTAGACATTTTGGTTAGGAAGTTGGCAGTGTGATACACGCTGCAACTGATATATTGTAGAACTGAACATTCTACGTATAACTGAATAAACGTAATGAGACAATCTGAACTTTTTTAAACGAGAAGCATTTTTGCAGCAAGAGTTTCTGTTGCTATGAAAACAATTCTTTATTGTGGTGTGAAATTGGAGTTTCAGTAACTGGTCTTATTAAAATTTGGTATCTATATCTAAATAATAATAATATCAAGTACAGGCGAAATTTTTAAATTAATTTTGTTACGATGAACAAGATTTTTTTAAAACCTTCAAATTTATTTTAAACCGTAGGAAACGTAAACGTATTTGTTTTTGATTTTCCATCTCATTTCTTTATTGTCTATCAAGAATTTGTATTTCTTAATGATTGTGAGCCACCAAAGCAAATGGCAATTGTTTTATGAGGTTTATCAATTTTCAAATCTAAGCTAAATAATTTGGTATCAAATCAAAGCTAAACTTTGGTGAATAACTGAGTGAATCAATTTGTGACATTAAATATTACGAAGTCCTTTAAATAATTCATAAAATCCCTAAAATTAAAACTAAAATAAAGTTGTTCCTCTCAAAGTGTAGTGATCGTACCCAAATGCTCAAGAGTTTAAAAAATATATATTTTCATTTTCTATTTTTTCATTTAATTATTCACTTTCAATCGATGCCTGTCATGGCTGCCATCATGTGATGGTGCAAAGCCTCTTGTGCCTCTAGATCAAGCCACGAGTTCGATTTATCTAACGTGTTCATCAGTCTAAACACAGATAAACTCTCATCTTTGACGGGGTGCCTTATTTATAAAGTTATTAATATTCGCCAGCTCTTTGTTCGACTTTAGAGTTTAAGCATGTAATAGACATCGATAATGTGTATTCTCAGTTTCCCGACTGAAAATAACTTGAACAATTTTGAAAAATATAACTAACTGAAACTACAATACCTATTCAAAGATTATTAAGAAAACGATTCAATAAGTAGTGAACTTTTAATCAAATTTATTTATATTACCGATTAGTGTTTCGTTCTTAGCTGTTTGTACGTTTTTTATGGTTTGAACAAATTTATAGTAAGTTCACTGAGCTTCATAATTGGTGGTCACTTCGAAGTTCAAGAAATGTGTAAGAGAAGCAACTAAGACTGAAATAATTTGCTTTTACTGATCAGGGTCAAGGAAGAAGGTTCGTTCGTGGTTGTCATCGTTTCCAGTCACTTTCTCCTTGAAATTCCCTATGGAAGACAGGTGATAAACAGCGAATCTAACCAATCAGAACTGACGTCCGCTGGCGTCAAGGTAAAGACAATTAGCATATCAGAAAGAGAAGATCTCCATTATAACGGCTATAGTGTTCATAATTTTATTCTCTTTGAAAATCATCAAATATTTGTGAAAGAAGAGCCTATGGCAAATCTCACATCTCTCTCCACAGAATCTGTCAAGCTTTCGTGGATTTAGCTATCAACACCAATTTATTCAGGCTGATTCTACGAGAAAAGGAAAGGTAACACTAAGTGACAGACATCCGTCCATTTATTGTTGACATACTGCGATCATTTCTATCCAACGTAGGCGTTTGTTTGTTAGGTATAGTTTGGTGTAATTTTTACTGAGGAACAGTTTTCGTAATTATTAGCCCGTTCTAAGCACCCTTAAGAGTTCTGAGACCACATCCACTCCACTTCAGTCTAATCCCTGATATTAATTTACGTTAGTTTATGGTCTATAGCTGTTGCCTTGATCATAATAAAATCTGCACTCAGATTATTCAAGAACAGAAAACTTAATTTATAAGAAGATAAAATCGTTGAGGAAGAGGAACTTTGAAAGTTATAATGACCAAGTTAGCACGGTCGAAATAATTGTTTGTGGTTTATGATTTATTGATAAAGTCCACCAAGGTTTGTACATCATGAACCAGTATCTATTTATTCCATGTTACAAAAAAGCAAGTTCTTACAAGTAAATGCACTTAGAAAGAGAAAGGATTCCAAGTAAAGATGCACGCAACGCTACCGTTCGCTGCAGGAGGAACATGGCCATGCTTTGTGGTCGAGCGAGTAATAATTGAACAAACGATAAAAACACGAGGATGTAATAATACAGGTGTTTAGCAGTGAGGTTTTTATGTTTTCTTAACATTGTCTAGCAATTTTTGGAAACCTTGGTAAACGGTACTAACTGATATTGGTCAATAAGTACGGACAATAAACATTTTAGCCAAACGTTATGTGATATAAACAACAATTATGAACATGCGAAAAGAATCTTAGTCAGCGATTTTTTTTTAGAAAGTCGAAGATTTGTAACGTGATATCAAGGAAACATGACTAGAACAACAATTCAGTCAATTCAAACGTTGCCATAGATGTTGTTACTAGTTTTAACTTGGTAGTGATTTAGGTTCATTTATGTTGATTCGGCGGTCGAATGGGAAGAACATTACCGAGCGGCACAGCCGTGCCTCACATAATTAAATGCTGGCAGGGATGGATTCATGAACCCAGTTAGTTAATAGTTAGTAGTTTATAGGCTTTTTCCTTTGTTGCAAAGTTTTTTCTTGTACGTTTGCAGTTTTATTTCCTTAGAAGAGAGATTCAATAAGCCAATCTCTTAAAATTCGGTGTCATATAGCCGTGTAAAAGTTGATTCCGAAAAATCTCGTATAGCGGCGAATTCTTTGTTTTTCAAACAGTTTGGTCTTCCCTAATGAATATTACACGTGTTCATCCAGTTCACCACACTTTATCGTATGTTGCTAAAAATACGCGAAGCTGGATGATTCACTTCCCCATACGAAAACAATACAACAAAATATAACAATGACAAAACCAATAGAAACAAAAACAAACTCAACAAAGGTTTAAAACAATAAGAAATAAGAGTCAATGAATAAGCAATTTCGTAGGGATTTAGCTAAAAATCACATTCAGAACATCAAGTCAATAAAAAGAAGACAAGGTCTCTCAAGGTTGCAAAAAAAAGGAGGTTTCTAAGTAACAGGCTAGTAATTCATTTTGAGGAAGATATTTTTTAATGGCCTGGACCGCTTGTTACCATTACAAAGTACATCCCGGTCTTGAGTGACATATTTTGCTATTGATATTTGATTGGCTAATGCTTCGATGACGTCACGGTTGCCGGAAAAAAATGGCGATTAGATTTCTAGAAACTCTTCATAGAGGACAACATAGTTAACTTAGTTGAGAGTTGAGGGAGGTTTTTCTGAAATAATCAAACAGCTTCATCTAGTGGAGTTTAGTGGAAGCCTTCCACTGTGTGGAACCACTGTTAAATCCATTATTTTTGTTTGTTTGATACTTTAATAGAAAGTGCTTTCCTTGGTTTGGGGTCAGAAAACGAACCAGATTTATTCATTTTCAATAAAACGATGCTTATAGATGCTTGGACACGCTGTGCAACTGAACTGTTGCACTTGCATGCATGCAATTGGCGATGTCGCACTCAGTGCATCTGCAGCAATAAATTATATGAATCGGAGAACGCGCATCGAGAATCCTGGCCAACGGTATACGAAAAAGCTGCATATTATCATTGCCAATACAACATTGCACTAGGTCGTGTTCATATGATGAAACTAGTTCCGCATATAGATCAGTTAACTTTTTTGTTCTGCAACGTTGCTGTTGGTAAAGTTGACACTACAATGGCTATGAATTAGTCATTCCGATGTGGAGGAAAATCTGGGTCGAGTTGGCATTGCAGTGCATTGTGGGATGGTTTAAGGGGACAAAATAGCCGCCATCTTGGAAATATGCCCCCTAAAAAGTCCCACATTGCACTTCAATGCCAACTCGACCCAGTTTTTCCCTCAACCTTGGAATGGTTAATACGAATATTCCTTGATTTTCTGCCTTCATTCGAGATACCAATACAAGCGTCTTTACATCTTCTCTATTACGCCATTTTCTAATTGCAAGCAGTCTGATGAGAGACCTAAACATGTTGTAGGGACATGGATATACGATGGACACTGTTACATACCTCTCGTTGTGTATAAATTGGTTACAATACATAACAAACATATGAACAAAGGATGCTTAATTTAACATAAAATTATTGTACTACGTCAAAGTGTTTACGATGCATAAAAGGTATATTTTCCTACAACGTACCTGTTATGAATTATTTGCGCTCTAATGATTATAAAACGATCAAACAAATTGCATGACACATTTGGATTTATTTCGTGAGCACTGCTTTAACAGGACACGAACACACCACTCACAAAACACACAGCAATTACACAGCGGAATGAACTGAATTTTGCGATAAAGCTACAGCCGGCAGTTGGACATTTATTTCATACGTACTTTTCCCACTGGCTCCTGAGAAAATCTTTCCAGTAATTTTTGGAGCAACGTAAAAAATATGAACGAAATAGTGAAACGACGAAATACGTTTTACTAAAGTGAGCGCAGAATATTTTTTTAGCTTCTTTTCAAGCTTCAATTACCCAATTTTATTCAAAAAATTTTGACGAGCAGCTTACACAACTCAACTATTATACATACTAAATAAACATTCTAGAAGGTTAAAATTTGAATCGCGCTGAAATCCGAGATAGCAATTATGAAGGAATTTTGAGATCCCTTGTTTTGTTTAAACGGCTTTCTCAAATAAAAGCTTTATGCTTAAACAATGATCCCAAAGTGACAACGATTGCCGACGAATACACGTAATCATTGAACAAGCAAAGCTTAATCTGTCGCTATTGCGCATGCGTAGTTAAAGTAGTTTATTACAAAGCAGTAAAGAACACGATAGTCAGCGTAGTTATGTCATGAGAGTTAATCATCGCCATGAATGATCTTGTTGCAGGGTTTTGGAGCGAATATAAAGACCTGCAGGAGACAACACTATGAGCAAGAGATTTATGACTGACTATGTTGTTGTGCAAATCTTAAAACATGAGAGAAACAGAGGATTCCACAGCATATCCGTCCAGCAAAACTGGTCCTGGAAAACCGAGTAAACCAAGTAAGTTTGTTCATTTGACCTCTTCTTTCAATTAACTTCTTGACATTCTGTTTATTACGACGTGGAGTTGGCAGCGCCATTTGGTATCAGATGGCCTTTTTCAAGTTCAAAAACTACTCAATTCTATGTAAATCCACTCCGTGTTTTGAAGCGATAGGAGATTATAAGAGATTACCCGCGTCAGGACTTTAAACGACTGAACGCAATTGTTCAAAATTCCTAAATGTAACCTTAGAAACGGCTGATAACCTAACCTTACTTCGCACATCTGCGCAAAGTGTCTCTAGATTATCTCGCATTGAAAAGGTTTTCCAAACTGCGACGAAACACTCTTGTGATTAAAAGTTTGTATTCTGTTACGCTAATTGAATCCAAATAGATGTTCTTCAGGACGTCCTAAATCTATAAGATATTATTTATGTTTATTTCTCGTTAAAGGGATAAATTAGTTGAGGCGTTCGCGCATGGATCAATGTCGACTGCAGACGGAAATGAATACCCTTTTCTTCGACGGGAGGTGGAAATTAAACTCCGTGTTACTTAACAACTTCTCTTTCTACCCGTGTTTCATGATTATGCCAGCATGATTTAGCCACCAAAAACACATCGATTAAGTAAACAACTCCCAACAGGCCTAAGTAAATGACATGTAAGTCTTAACCAATCAGCGAACGGTTTCGCAGTTTCGATTCATGCTGTTGTCACCTTTTGTTTTGTTTGAAAAGAAAGAGGGACAAAGCAAGATTTATGAACAAATGCGTCTTCTGTATTGAAGGAATTAGCAGTATTTTCATGCAACAGATCACCCTATTTTAACGCTCCAGCGAGTAAATCTACTCTCTTGCTGGTATATTCTATCTCTTTACAGCAATTAACTTCGGCACCAAGTTCTTCAACCTTGGAAAACAATTCTTTTGTTTCCGATAAAGCTTTTTGTCTCTAGCGGAATTCTATACTTTGTACATTAAGTACTTTCAGAAGTTTTTGTTTAGGAGCACGGAACAAAGATTCGTAATAGCGCATTCATTTTACAATACAATTATTGCATTCCTTCAGTCTTCTTGAATCCTAGGTTAATCCTGGCTAGAGAAGACCTGGAGTGTTCATCAAATAAACTACAATTTTTTTAAAATAAACTTTAAAAAACTCACTTGGCGACCTCCATTCCAGTCTGCCGTTTTTTGACGACAGTTTCCGACGTCTTTGTAAATATTATTGGCGATATTTAATATTATTGAAATTGGAGTTGCGAAAGATTTCTCCCAATGAAACTTCGTTTTGATGCTCGTCCAAATAGTAGGATCAACTTGCCAAATTACCTGTCTTTTTGTTTTATCATCGCGTGCTTTGTTTAGAGCAATTTGCGTAGCTAGATCCAGTGTACATTTGTCAGTCTAATTGTATTGACACTTTTGCTGTAAGCTTTTCCGGTCATTAACTCATACCGCAATATAAAGCCTTTTGCAGTTACAATTCCTAGACTGACACGAACTTGAGTTTGTGTCTCGACTTTGGCAAGTAGGTGTTCCTAGTAATTACGTTGATTTTGTTTCATTAGATCGTACAACAGCTCCAATAATCACTTATCATATCGACTCCATAATTCAACCTTTGACCCTCTGAAAATCATATCTGTGTTCCTTTAGCATTAACAGGACTTTGAACTTCTCTATTCTGACAATATTTTATTGGTTTTGCGTCTTTTTTAATAATTATTGGTTAAATACACCTTGATCTATGAGAGTTCTAAGGGATCCTTTATGAATCCTTACTACCCCACACACGTTGTATCTGAGAGTGTTGTTATCAACACGTTGTGTTTGACTTGAGTTAATTGGCCCACTCGGCAACTGAGGGGGTGTACATGTCTGATGTGAGGTCATGTTTTTGACACTATCAATTTAAATCTCACTGGTTTTCTTTATTGATAGTTCTTTTTATAGATCTTTTAGCCGTGTGCATTGCGCCGCACGACGAGAGATGGCAATGAAAGGTCCAAATCTTGTCGCTCTTTCGACGCAGGCTTCGCATCATTTGTTGCATTTTAAGGCAGAAAACTGAACTACATCAACGTCAAACATCCGATGTCTAACAACAGCGATATCAACAAAAACTGCCTTCACAAGGTTCAAACAAGTAAACTTTTGTCTATAAATGACTGCTATGAATTTGACTGATTAGGATGTTGCAACAAATGCGACATGTCATAAGAGACGATAGATTTTATTTTTGGTACAGCGAAATTTTAAATTTCGTTAAAATCGTATGCAGGACGTCACACCGGCTTGGGCTAAGAAAAGGCCTGACCCTTTTTTCTATATACAATCCTTCTTTAAATAATATTATTTGCTAAACTTTCTCCTTTTCTTCCCGTCTGCCATCGTGCCGCCATCATGTCATCAGTCTCTTGAAAGAAGATTGCGCGTCCTTCCGAGCTTCAATGCGAGTTTTGACATATCTGAAGTCTGAATTTGAAAATTATTAAAATAGCTGTCTTGCAATCTTTCTTACTCATTATTCTTCGTTAAGCCCACTTCAGAACCACTTCAGGCTACGGCTTCTGGACTATGTGGATCACCTATCCTCGATCGTGGGAAGACATCACCAAAATCTGAAACATCTGTGATCTGCACTGAACGTACTTCTGCATGTTATCGCCATGTTATCGCATTATTCAGAACGACTGAGAACACCTGCCAAGACTGACATTACTGTGTCATGAAAAGTAGCTCTGCTGTTAAAGATGATGTGTTGAATTAACCAATCACAGTGCCCATGCGAGATTACTACATATCTATTGAGAGTGTTCTCAGACACGACACGGCAGTCTGAACAACGGACTTATCAGCTTATAATTTTACAGTCATGCAAAAACCGCCCCATTGTCATCTTGCTTTGAAAGCAAGCGCGGTGTGCAAATCACTGTCGTTTAATGAAAAATCCAAGATGCGGATGATGACGCTCATTTGTCGTACCCGACCGTAAGCTAGGGTCACCTTTATCATCTTGATAATGAGACAAGGTGCGGTGTACTGATGGTATTTCCTAGGAAACTGCGTATACACCTCGTATTTCAGTAAACGTTTCATCGCCAAAGGTAATAGGCGATAGGCGAAAATCAATGGGAGATAGCAGGGGGGAAATGGCGATGATAACCTCAAAGTTTTCCACTGGGAAAAAATAGAGAATAGTCTTGTGAGGAAAAAAATCTTTGTAAAATAACAAAGTGTCCTGGTCTTTTTTCWAGGATACTTAGGAACGTCTGTAAGAGCCTAGGTGTCAATCTTATTTTGTAAATTGCAGGACAGAAATAATCAACGTCAAGAGAATATGAACTTAGTTCAATTTCTCTTGTCAACGTACTTCCTTGCACGTGTCGCGAGGGCAAAAGTGACTTGACGAATATTAAATTATTCTTTTCTATTCTGTTTGTGGATTATGCATAAACATCAAATAATTTGATGCTTTTCCTCCTCAAACAATGATAATATGATACTTCAAGAGACATAAAACTACTCCTGTATCACGTTTCCTTGTCTATATTTCCTTCTGGCCTTATTAGCAAGACGTGAGGTGGGTACTCGGAGTGAAGAAAGCCAGGTGCCTTGAGAAAAGTCGTCTATGACTCCATCAATGGGTCAAACTTCCGTTGGTTTTCACGAACTTTTTTTGATGTATTGCACTTATGCCCCAGTTGTGAAGGCGTCCAAAACCCCAGATATCTATCCGAAAGATTTGAGAGTAAAAAAAAGTTTCAAGAATGGCCGCATTCATTTGTTCGATGTACAACTTTTAGTTAATTATAAATGCAAATGAAATACATTCGATTGGCACGTGACTAGGCTCAGTGCTCCTTAGCGAGCGCGAAATTTGAGTTTGACGGAAAGATTACCAACGGTTGGCCAACTTTAACTTTCTGAAAGCTGGATTTCAAGAAATCTCGCTTCGAATGAAGTGTTCTACAAGCTTTACACTTCTTGGAAATCTAAGCTTCAGTCTATAGCAGATTTTAGAGCTTTTTAGCGCTTATTTTAGGCAGAAATGGTCGTCGGTTTGTCCCGGTTCTCGCGCCTTCGAGCTCCCAGCACAAGAGGCAAGACGTCAAGATCTTGTATTTTCTATAACAAAAATTCTTTTAAACTTGATATTAATTGATTATGTTTGATCCTTAGGGAATGGGAGTTCTTCTGGATATGAGAGGTAAGGCGATTTTGTTTATTTATTTCTCAATTCCGAACAAAGAAAGTATCCTTCACATGTGTTCGTGGACATTTCCCCTTCATTACTCGTTGGCAATGCTTGTCTTTTCTTCTTCTGTTTACTTCAAATACAGCTGAATTATTTCTTTAATGACCATCAGAACCCCTTATGATTACTAGGGATAATTCCTGGGCTACTTATAACCTTTTTCCCTAGTTTTTGTTYCTTATTGAAGCAATTATTTCGTATGTAAACAATCGGTGAACTCAACTTTGTTTTGACTCGAACAAAAAGTTGTTTTACACGACGTCGTAAATTAATCTTCGTTAGTCGAACAAGTTCCTCGTGACCTACAAAGTTTACTGTAAGTGCTATTCTTTCGATGACTTATATTTCCTTAAGGTTTTAAATTTATCAAAATTTTCAATGAAGATAAATATAAGTTGCCAGTTTGTTTTGTAAATATATTTTAGATACTATATTTTAGTTTCCTTCTAAAAACGCATGAAAACCTTCGTCAAATTTATAAAAATAGTCCTAAAAATTAATAAGTTACCATGTAGTATAAATAAAGTAAAAAGCTCACCTCTAGGTTTGCTTCTAGGTTTTTCTAGGCTTCTAAAAAGCTTTTATAACGTTATGTTTTGATATCTGTGTGTTTTGGGGAAATGAAAGGCTTGATGAAGCCATTTGTCGCCGTCATTACCGACATTATAATTTACACTTTTATATATATGATCTAAAACCTTATAGTCTTACTTATATATGATCAAAAATTATATTCTTTGTGCTTAGGTTATATGTTATTCATTATTGCTTTTCTTCAACAAATATACCCAAAAATAATAACTAAATATTAAAAATTATTTGTAAAAAAATACTAGAACTGATAATTCTAGAAAAAAAATTAATATGTATATTTTTAATATTCAAGATTTTTCTTAGAAAAATTTTGAACTGTGCAATATTGGAAAAAAAATTTAAAGTAGATTTAATGTAAATTATACCATAGAAAATCGAGATGGGATAATGATTTTTTTCTTTATTTACTGTTTTTAGTAAATGTTGTTATCGTTATGTATGTGAAGTGATAATCAATCATTGAGTATATAGGAAAGAAAAATGAAAAGAACAATCACAATATGAATTCTAATCCAAGTATCATCTTATGAGTCAATTCTTTTTGTGTCGAAAAAGATAAAACAACGTAATTCCATCATAAAGAAATAAATATGATTTCATATATAATGTTTTCAAGTGTTTTTATTTTTTGTTGCTATTTTTTTGTTTGTCTTCATAAAACCATAGTGATGTGATCTATATGATCATTATATGCAAATACAGTATTTAAGTTAAGTGCTTACTAATACTCTTCTTAACACCTTTTACACTAAAATCACCCTTGTTAAGAAATAGAAAATTGGAATAATAAAATAATAGAAATAAAAGTACTGGTATACAATTTAAATCAAATAACCTAATTCATCCTCACTTTTTAGTTTGTTATTCTGTTTTATTGTTACTTTTATTGATATTCTATATATGTACATGTGTTTCCAATAAAGTTATAATACTGTATTAACAAATTATTCATATTTTCGGCATAAGAAAATGCAATGTTTTTTGATATGCCAATCTTGGTTGACCAATAGTTAGTGCTACATTGAAAAGCTATAGGGCTTGTTAATTTGCTTAAGAACCAGAATCTATGTACACTGTAGTATAATTTCATGAGACTCCTATACAGTATACACCCATTTCTTGATTAAAAGGTTTGGGTTTTTGGTTTCCATCCATTAATTTTATAAAAAACTGACCCAGACACTGAAACTTCAATCTCAAATCATATGTGACTATTATACACCTATTTCAAAAAACATTGTTGGTCAGAAACCTGAAATCTTAGACCCAGTGAAATTGTGGGGACTAAATGTTTTTCCATTAATTTTATAAAAACTGATGCAGAAGGCTGGAATTTTGATCTCAAATTATAGCTAGCTGTCTGAATCACATAATTATGAAAATTATAGGCGAATAAGAAGGAAATTTTTAACATTGTGTGAAAAAACTTTAGAAATGTAATGACGTTTCATACATTAATCCTACGAATTATGAAATATTAACTTTAAAAATGGATCTTTACTGTAATTGTATTGAGAAATAATTGTAGAATGAGACAGATTACAAAACTCTTTAAATTCAAAGTAAGAGTAACATACATGTAATTCTTCTAAGTGCGTAGTTCCAGAAAATTTGCATACCCCACCAGATAGAGGAAATTTCAAAAAGGTCCCCCCACCCCTCTGGAATTTCCAACTTTCTTCAATACAAACCTTGTAATTTTGTTTTCCTCTGACCTCCCACCCCCTGAGAATTTCCTGATTCCCTCCATTGAAGGGTTTTGGATATTTTCTGAAACCACACATTAAGCATATTTATCATTATTTTCAGTAACGAGGGAGACAACATCAAGGTGTATGTGCGTGTTCGCCCACCAGCAAAGAACCTAGAGAATGGAGTAGATCGCCAACCATGTGTAGAAGTGACGTCAGCCAACACTTTAGTTTTACAAAGCAAACCTGACCCTAAGACGTTCTCTTTTGATCATGTTGCTGATATCAATACTATGCAGGTTTGTTTCTTCTCTTTTCTATAAATTAACTATTTATTAGGTATTAGTTCTTTCTAGAATGTGAAAAAGCACCAACTGACTTAGCAAGGACAGCAATGACAAAGACAGTGTGCACATGAAAAACCATTTTGAAAACATCCTGCATCAGCAGTTTATTTGCTGATCACCAGTTTATACCAGCTGTTCTAATGTCCAGCTGATTGTTTTTTATCAGGATAAATAAAGATATTATTATTATATTATTACTATTGTTATTATTGTTATTATCATCATCTGTCATTGCTGTCCTTGCTCCTCTCATGGGTCTTAAGGTCCTTAATATTTTTTGACAGAATCTTATGATTTTACAATGTACCTGTAGTCTCTATGACAGCTGATTATTGAGTATGCATGTACTTTTGTGGTTTCTACAGGAGGAAGTGTTTGGAGCTGTGGGGAAAAAGATTGTTGAAGGATGCGTTAATGGTTACAATGGCACCATTTTTGCATAGTAAGTCGATAAATCATCACAATAAGATTCTGTAAAACCCTAGTTTCAAGTCCCCATGCTGTATAATGATTATATAAAGCCTTCCTCTTGGTATTAAACACTTAAAAAAAACTTAAACTGTATGTTAGGCCCACTTTAAATGTCGACTTTCACTGAATCTAATGCAAAAGGAGCAAAACCTATTGTTTGAATTCATTTGCAATAGATTTGACAAAATTCAATTTGCTTATCGATGACCAATGCTTTTAAAACATAGCAAAAGCGTAAAAAAATCTTTGTTAATAGAGAAAAATTCAAATATTTTTTCTAGCAAAATCTGCATTACATAGCGCGTGCTACTCAACTGACATCAGCATGCACCATCGATTTTTGAATGCACACTCGTGCATGCTAATTAACCAATCAGAGCGCATGTTATATCATGGCTATGTTATGAGTTGCTATTGCGGTAGTAGTAGAATATGTAACAGAAACATATTCACAACAACTTCTTTTTAAATTTGTTTTCAGTGGTCAAACAGGTTCAGGCAAGACATTCACCATGCTTGGTAAGAAACTAGTGGGTTGTGTGTGATAATACCAAAATTGTTATGCTTGGTGTCATGCAGGGCTTAAAGTACTGTAACAGCCAGTTAATGGATAATGTCTAGCCAAGCCTCTTAGGCCAGTGCTCTTGACTGGTCGTATCCTGTATGCTCAAAGGATTCATTGTACTTGTATTTTCTATAATAGACAATCTACAAATATATTGAGACTCACAAAAATGTATGCACACTCCAAATCATCTCTCAAACAATTAGCTCATCACTCAAGCAGTGTGAAAAACCATTATTCAAGGCTTATACGTGTGTACATACTTTTCTTCATGCTTTTGTCATTTCCTGCATGGTGTATAACTGAACATAGCATGGTAAAAGCTGTTTTACATGTATTTGTTTATTAAGTTTGAGGTATTGTCATTACAGGTCCAGCTGAAGGAGAGGCAGAATGTTTCGCACATGAGCTTAGAGGTGTCATTCCTAGGGGATTTGAGTATCTTTTCAGTTTAATCAAGAGAGAGCAAGAAAAGGTACGATATTATGTACTTATTGACTGAGTGGGAGGGCCATACAGGAAAATATTTGGCTTGAGGTGATGCTGTATGGACTGAGCGCAGGGAGGTCCGTACAAATGACCGAGAGCCAAATATTTTCCTGTACGGCCTGACCTAACTCAGTCAATAAGCATTTTATCATATGACCCTAAATAAAGAAGGTATTTTAAAAGTTCGAGCAGGGCCGTATGGATTCTTACAGCCCTGCTCACGCCATTTTCTAAGAGTGCTTGCCCTGGCAGATACAGGTCCTATGATAATACAAAGTATTCATAACATGGACACCCTTCTTGAATAAGTAATAGGAGATTCTGATACCTGATTTGGACAATGTCCAGCCAAAATTGTCACTTGTCTATCCAAACACCTCTTAGACCAGTCACATCAGTCTGATGTGGTTAGTCATCATGTACAACCATTAAGCAGCTGTTATTTTTAGCCCTGCTGAGGGAACAGCAATAATGTCATCAAAAATGGGATAACAGAGGATTAGGTCTATTTATCAAAAAGCTAAGTTAAGTTTTCACACATTACTTTTGGTTTATTAGGGCAGTTGTCAGTACATCGGGAGTCATATGATAGTCTAATTTGATCAGGCAAAGAGGGCCTCATGGGCTAAATAGCATTCAGACTGAAAAATCCTTATGCCACCCTCAGTCATCTTATATGTCTTATACCTTACTATTCCTTCCTCAGCATGGAGATCATCTTGAGTTTCTGTGTCGATGTTCGTTCCTGGAAATCTACAATGAGCAAATATTTGACTTATTAGACCCTGCATCAAGTGGATTAGCCTTGAGAGAAGACTTGAAGAAAGGGATATTCGTAGATGGGCTACTAGAAAGAGATGTAGCTAGTGCAAGAGATGCCTATAGGGTTAGTACTGTAGTAACTTGACTTTAGTATGCTATGTTCCAACTCAATCATGAGATACAGCTGTAACTGTGCCCTGACTTGATCAGCCCAGAGGTTGTTTCAGGGTTCAATCGATGAGTTAGACATGCTCTGACTTTGATCAGCCCAGAGAATATTTCAGGGTTCAATCTGAAAGTTAACCATGCCCTGACTTTGATCAGCCCAGTGGTTGTTTCAGGGTTTGATCGATGAATTAGCCGTGCTCTGACTTAGATCAGCCCAGAGGTTGTTTCAGGGTTCAATCAATGAGTTAGCCATGCCCTGACTTTGATCAGCCCAGAAGTTGTTTCAGGTTTTGATAAAATTCCAAGGTTTTTTTAGAGTTTTTTTAATCCAAAGATATTTGTTCTTACAAGTTTGAAAATGCTTCAGAGCTTCATTTTTCCCCTTTTCTCATTCAATTTTATATCTTCTATTCAGGTATTGAACTCAGGCTGGTTAAACAGAAGAGTTGCCTCCACTTCAATGAACAGAGAAAGTAGCAGAAGTCATGCAGTGTTTACCGTGACTTTAGAATCTAAGGTCAGTTCCTGTCTATTACCTGCAGGGCTTAAAATATTGGATTACCTGCAAGAATTAAAATAAAGACCAGTAAGTTGGCTTTCATGATATCCGGCCAAATTAGTTTTAGCCCGGTCACACTTCGTTTCTGGATCAATGTTACTGGTTAAAATGACTGACAAGGCAAAGATTTGATCAGACAACTTCCAATTCTGGGCAGACAATATTGTTTGTTGTCCAGCCGTTATTTCAACCCCTGACCTGCATCGTTGCTGTTTCTGTTTCTGGCTATTCATCTACCATGTACTTTTTTGACCAATCGACACGTGTTGATGGATAATTGGCTGATCATCATTCAACACTTCACTTGACATCTCAATAACATGATCTATTAGGAATTTTTATTCTGAAAAGTACAAATTTTTGGTGCTCATTATTATTATTACAGGAAAAGAAAGGCAAAATGTGTAATATTAAAGTGTCAAAATTGCACTTAGTGGACCTGGCAGGGTCTGAGAGACAGAGAGATACACATGCTGAGGGATTAAGACTCAAGGTAAAACCCTCACAAATACTATTGTGTAGTTCCAGAAATTATCCATACCCCACCCACAGAGGATTTGTATGGAACAAAATTGGAATTTCCAGAGGTAGTGAGGGTCTTAGAAAAAAATTCCTCTGTAGGGGAGGTATGGATAATTTCTTAAACAACGCATTACAAAGAATTTGGAGATTGTTACATTATAGATAGAAGCCATCTGATAAAAAAGGGGRAAAAACCAGCATCAATATATAAATATAAATTCCAGCATCAAAATATAAGTTCAGTAATGTTAAACTCTGGCCAAACATTTTGAAATGAAATAATTCGTAGTTGGTAATGTGTCAAAAATTCCTATTCATGCTTCCTCCAATAAACCTAGATTGTATTGGTTTCACATTTCAAACCACATATCTTTCCTAAGAGTATAATTTCTTGTCATTCCCTAGAGTATCATGTCTTTGTTTAACTGTTGCGCTTGATAAGACACATGAATATAATACAACTCAAAAAAGAATTTCAAAAGAATGACCTGGTCTGAAATTAGATAACATTGCCTCAAGACAAGTTATTAGGGAAGCACAGGTGGCGTTGTGGTGTGAGCCCTCGCCTCTCATCAATGCAACCCGAGTTCAAGTCCCGCCGGGCTCGGTGTTGTATATGAGTAGACTTGTTTGTTGGTTCTCTCCTGTGCTTGGAGGGTTTTTCGGGTTCTCCGGTTTTCCTCCCTCCACAAAAATCAACTCCTAAATTCCAATTCGATCACAGGGCCACAGGTTTGTTAGCCACAGGCTATTAAGTGCTACCCTCGTGAAAAAAGGATGTTTTTTAAAAAATTTAAGTCTGTTCCCCAGCTTCCTGATAGCTGTGCAAGGGAATACTCCATTTTCACAAGGTTGCATGTGCATCCAACTTGATGGGCCACAAAACTGAAAAACCCAAATTCAGTAAAATTGATAAGCCAGTTTTACATTTAAAGAGGAAAATAATCAATTTTATGAATTAGTATCGAAAAAAATTTCATAGCAATGCATGATGATACTCATCATATCGTGGCTCATCAAGTTCCTTAAATTTGGATGCGCACACGACAATCTTGAGAAAATGGTCTATTGATGTGCATCCTCATGTGCTACCCCCTATAGTTCCAAGTTACTGGAAAGGGAATGTAAGAATTATAGGGTTATTTCCAGTGTAATATAATTAATGCTGCTCTTTTGTTTTATCTATTGTAACTTGTTCTATAGATTGTAAAGCTGGTATTGTTTTTTTTGTATTGTGAAGTCGGCTGTGCTGTATGTACTATATTACAATGGAGATTTTTGCCAAATTTAACATGTAACTAACTTCTCCTGATAAGGAATAACATTTGTAATTTCTTTTTTGATGTGTTACTATTGTAGGAAGCCAGTAGCATCAATAAGTCACTGTCAGCATTAGGTAATGTTATCATGGCACTTGTTGATATGACCCATGGTAAACAACGACATGTCCATTACAGAGACTCCAAGCTAACCTTTTTATTGAAGGTATGTATTTACAATTACTCACTTTTACAGAATATTATGTTGAAATATTATTAGTGTGAGCAAGGTTATGCTGTTCCTTGTAGTGGTACCCAGGGAAGCTTGCATGCTCTAATGAGTTTGAGAGCTATACCAGCTGGTGCTCATGTACCTGATAGGTTCAACCTTGCTGGGCAGGAGGTTTCGCTGGGCAGGTCTTAGGTGAAGAGCAAGGCTATTGCAATACCTAGATCTAGAGCTAGAACTCCAGGTTGGGGAAAGGGTTAATAACCCTTCTCTGTAGAAAAATATTATTATGGAAACCAGAAATACTCTACAAGGAATGTATAGGCAAGATGAATAGGCCTTATGCGTAACTGTGCACAAAGTGGTTGGGTGAGAAGAACGAATTAATGGTAGTGGAAAAGAAGAAGAAATTTAGTGTAGCAATACAAAGTGCAGGAATTTGAGAAATGGAAGGTAATTAATGGAAGAGGAGGAATAGAATGGGAATGGAGTATTTAAGAAAAGTAAGGAAGGGTGAAATTATTGGGAGTGAAAGGATTCAATGAAGAATTAGATGGATAAAAAAGGTTTGACAAGAAAATGAAAGTGAAGTAATGGAAAATGAAAGTGGAACTGTCAATAAGCGTCAAAGCTATTAAGCCATGAACTTCTGTTTAGCAGCCACTAGACAACACTTTGAGGGTCGTTGGAGTTTTAGACAGTAGGACTCGTGCTGCGTCATTCAATTGTTACTAACTCAGACTGTTGTAATTTTCAACCAACAAAATGTTCCAATTTAATTTTCAGGATTCTCTTGGAGGAAATGCCAGGACTTATATCATAGCTAACGTTCATCCATCAGCCAAGTAAGTCTGCTTATATGTCATGTCAGTTGAGTATTGTAAAATATATGAAATACTGTATCTTCATACAGTAACAAGTGGAAACCTTAGAACAGTAGTATCTATGAACCTATGGTATTAACTTACGCATGTACACTGTGGGATTGATGGGTGGCAATCATCATCTACACTGTGCGATTGATGGGTTGCAAGCATTCCCAAGAATCAAAAGACAAAAACATGGCAGCCATTTTGGTGCTGTTAACAATGGGTGCTGTTGAGAAATCTTTTGTTAAATGGCACCAACGCTCCCCCAAGATGCCGCGATGACGAAACATGCAATCGATGAATATAACTTACTTTTCATCGTTTTTGTTCTATTCTTCTATGCACAACAACGGCACGGCTACAGAGCGGCTATACGGTACAGCTACGAATGTGCCATTTTTAAAGCGATTGCAATATTTCCTTTATAAAGCGTCACACCTATTAAGTCACGAACCTCTGTTAAGCAGCTACTAGACAACGCTTTGAGGGTGACCTCTTTAAAAAAATTTTGATTTTACCCATTGATTATAACCTCGATTTTTTTAAGGTGCTTTGGTGAAACTCTTTCCACTCTTAACTTTGCACGTCGCGCCAAAATGATCAAAAATAGGGTAAGAATTTATAACATTAATTAAACAGCCACGTGCAGCACAGGAGATGATTGGTTACTTGAACATGGCACACACACACACCTTCAAGACACTGCATGTCTGCACCGTAAAGTTTTCACAGTCATACTCTAAATAAGTATGAAAAATCGTCTTTTTTTATAAGGACAGCACTTTTAATAGCCAGACTAACAAACCTGTGGTCCTTATTCCATGATCGAATTGGGATTTAGAAGTTGACTTTTGTTGAGGGGGAAAACCGGAGAACTTGGACAAAGACCCTCGAAGCACAGGAGATAACCTACAAGCAAGCAACTCTACTCACATACGACACCGTGCCCGCCCAGCGGGACTTGAACCGATGACCACATGGTGAGAGGTGGCGCATTAGCAGTTCACACCACCCGTGCTTCCCTCCAACGCATCTACCATAACCACACCTTACAATCCTTGTTACCTGACTCAATGTAGTGTCACATCTATAAATGGATGTACTTGTTGTAAGGTATTGAGTCATGATCAACTTATTACTTTCTGTTGTTGGTCCACCAGGCTGTTGTCAATGAAGACAGTACTGGCAGTGTTACTGCTCTGCAAGCTGAAATAAGAAAGCTAAGAGAGGAGCTGTCAAAAGCACGATGTACGTACACTACATAGTTTTGTACCTTAAATAAAAATCTTGCGTTTTAACAATCCATTTTCTTACCACAAATAGAAATCATTTTCTTCCTTTTCTGATTGGACCTGAGCCGTAGAAAATAGGAAGACATATCAACAAATTACGTCAATAAATTACGAATCGCTTTTCTTTCAAACTTTTCCCTTGTTTTTGTATTATATATGTCTCATGAGTACATAGCATTTTGACCAACTGTTGTGGTCATATCGTGGTAAACAAGAGAACATACCACGCACAACCATCGGAAATTTGTTAAATTTAATAACTTCTTGTAAAACCAGTAAAAGGTTCCAAAGAAAAAAAATTATTTTCAATGAACAACCAGTGGCAATGGCGGAGGTTAACTGCTAAAATTCGTGCAATTTTAAGGGAGTATTAAAAGTGGCGCTTTACAGTAGCTTTACTTCCGCGATGTATTCATAAAGACGAAGATGGTTAATTAATTTGGAAGAAATTTATAACAAAAATTTCGTTTTGTTTTTGTAGCTGCCATGAATGGACAAGTAACAAGACAAGGTATGTACCTATAGGCTACATGTGTTGGGCATATGTTATGTAGACTATTGAATGGATTTTGCAAGGCGTTTCCATGACATTGTATAGGCACGTGCTCTTGAACACTGTGTGTATATCGACGATGTCATGGAAACACTTTGATTGACATCCACCAAAACCCTAATTTATTATGACAGCAAATTGTAATTGGGGAAAACGGTAATAAACGTGGTGCATTCTGGTATAGCTTGGGTAGAACAATACCGCAAAAGGCCTGCCATGATGAGCAAAAGGTGTTTGCACCCAAGGTAGACCACAATAAACGATGATCACTGTCTCAGGAAAGCCTACAGTCTTTTGTCTTTCCCAATGATACCTCATTATTCATTAGATCGAAAAATGGCTTGCAATAACTCATAATTTTAAGGTTCCAGCGTTTCGATGTGTTTTTAACGAGAAGGATGTTTGATTTTTCAGTGCCAACAGAACCAGATAACAACTCAGCTAGTGGTCGTGACCAGTCCTGCTCGGACACTAACAACAACAGTGGTAATGACTATGGACAGCAATACAAAGAATGGCGCGAAATGATTATAGCTGCTACTGAGGGACGGGACCGGGCAGAACAGGAAAAGCAGGTTTGTGACGTGTGAACAGCTAGAAGCCATCGTCATTTTCTTCGTGGAAATAAAAAGATATGTTCAAAGGCTATTGTTTTCTCTTGGTTTCTGATTGGCTCCACTACCCGAACTTGGAGTGTATTGTTTTTTTTCTCTACGATTTGATTGGTTCATGCTGTCTAAGTGGCCCCAGCTATGGTAGTCGCAATGTAAGAGTCACAAGAGTCAACTTTGATTTAAAGAACGTGCAGCTTGAAAGATATCAATGTTTTGAAAGCCCACGAACTTTTAATAGTATCTGTGAATAGCTGACTTATAAACGAGGCTAAGCTAATGAGTCTGTGGTCTTCAAAAACAGTGGTATGTATCGAATGCGAAACTGCCATTTCTCATTGTTATCTTCTTTTTCAGGCTTTAGTAGAAAAGGTCCAGAAACTTGAAGAACTGTGCAGTAAAAAAGACAAATTTGTACAGGTAGGGCGCAAGATTATCGTAAACAAAACGTGACTAACTTGACACAATGTCTTGAAAAAAATGCTTATGTCATCTGTAATTAAAGTCGACCCTTTATTGCCCAAACACTATTTGAGTGAATGCAGTCAGTACTTACCACACAACACAACTCTTATTGATCCCTCGCGATATTTTCAGTACTTGGGGATTCCAAGGTACAAATACGATAGCCAGCATGGTTTTTCTTATACTAAATGCAATGTTATTTCTTTTGTTTTTTTGTTGGGGTGTAGTCCACTAAAATGATTCTGAAGTTTCGAGAAAGTCATATCGCTAAACTTGAGCGGATGCGAAAAGGAAACAAAGAAGATAAAGAACGAGAAGAAGACAGCAGAGATAAACAGATCGTAAGTAGATAATACGTAAATGAAACAATTACTATGCAGACACTCGTCTACTGCGAATAGCCTCCCTGTGTTTCAGATTTGTCTGTGTGATTTTAAATAGAGGTTTTGCACCATTACGCATAATTCAGTTTGGACTGCCTGTGGTTAGATGGCAGAACAATGAAATCCTTTTGCACTCGGGAATTGAATTCTTTCTGATGTAAAACGATTGTATTGTTCCTGCCATCTAACATGGCTTCCGTCACGTGATGATGCAAAACCTCTATAGACCGCTTTTCATGTGAAACATAGAGCACTGACTTACAGCTCGTTAAACGGCATGGAATGCAGTAACAAGTAACATTCAAATGGCTTTCCATCGTCTTCCAGTTATTCTTTAAATCGTAAAACGTAGTTACGGTCACGGTAATATACGGTGCGGCTATAGTACGGATACGAATTCAGTTTGTCCTATCGTTTCCCACTCGTACGAAAACAGAGTGAAGCTACTTCTTACCTTTTTGTCAGACACTAGACCATGTGGGATCTGTTTAATATTACTTTGCGCATGCTTAGTAATACCGTATTATTCAATTGTACAGCAATTGCTAAATGAAGAAATAACAGTACTAAAAGAGAAAGTAGAACATCATCCAGACGTTACGAGGTTTGCCATGGAAAATCTGGAATTACGAGGTAAGTACGTACATTGACATCCTGTAAAGAATAGAATTTTATAAAATAATTGGGATACTACGCGCGCTAAGATTGGTCGAAAACCATGTTTGATGAGAGTATCAAAACACGCTACCGTCATTTTTAATCTATCGCGCGCGCTCATTGGTCAGTTTGAATAAGACKGCACGTAGGGAGAATTTACTTAGACTTTGCTTTTTTTCGATCTTTTCGCGCGTTTGTTATTTTATAAAACAAATCAAAAACAGTTTTCTGTGTTTGATACTGTGATCAAAACACTTGGGATGTTGTGAGAACACTCGAGAAGCTGGAAACCACTCCGCTACGCATCGTGGTTTCCTACGCTCCTCTCGTGTTCTCTCAACATCCCGCGTGTTTTGATCAGAGTATCAAACACGGAAAACTGTTTTTGATCTGTTAAATCAATAAATGATGAGAGGCGCATATTGGATCCAGAGTAGGGGTGTACCCTAAAACAAACAATCTTTTGGTTATTAATAACAGCTGAGCTCAAGAAACTACGACAACTAGATGATGATGGTAACGATATTACTCACGAACTGTCCAGATGTCATCGATATACGTTACAGTTAGAAAGACAGCTACGAGAACTACTGCAGTCTCCACAGGGGAGTGGTAAGTATGGCCTGTTAATGCCTCCCTTGTAAGGAGGAGGGGGAGGGGGCTTCAGTGGGGATGGTCATGTGTAGGTTCAAATGTTCTTTACGCTAGGTTCAATGAAATAGAAACCCCCTTTTGTGAGGCCAATCTTACCAGCTTTTTTTACGTGACGGCAATTTTGGAACCACCCTTTTTAAATTCCTGGACCCGCCACTGGAAAAGATAGAGGAAGGAATGTAATGGGATGGAATTCGGAAGAAAGTGAACTTGCAATTCAAAAAGATTTGGAAATATGAAGTCATGACCGAAATGCCTAACCTTTACCAAACCTTTCTTTAAAATTTTCTTGGTAGTTGATCTTGAACATAGTTTATCAAGTTCGTTACTAAACCTGGAAGCATCGAATGCAGAACTTGAAAAATTTAAGATTGAAAGAGGACAGCTACATTCTCAGCTAGAAACGGTAAGTACTGAGTTGATATAGTTGATATGTAATGGCTTCGAAAACCTTACGGTACGAACGTGCCGTGTTGTGATTGCAATTTACTTGTTCGTGAAATGAAATTATAAATTGATGCAAACGGCGGTTGGTTTGCTAACCATGGTAACGATCTCTTGATGCATAGGATTGTGGGATTAAATTTGAGTACGCACAATGAGGAAAGTTTCTGACATCGTCCCAAAATTTAGTCCCACAAGCCTTTGCACCAGGAAGTCGTTACCACTCTCTCTTTGAACTTAAAAGAGGCGAATTAAGTATCCTGTCTTTTTACTTGAAGTAATAGACCTATTTAGCTTCGTTGTTAAGCTAGTTAGTTATTTAGCTAAGTTCGTCATAAAAGAACAACTCTAAAGGGAATGTCATGTGATCTGAAATGGGCAATTTGCATACGAAGGTAAATGGGTCTATTGGCAAGTAAAACTTATGCAATTGCTTTTTTCGCCTGTTTCTAGACGCGAGAGGATCTAAAACAGACCCGGGAAGGGTTGCAAAAGACAAAAGAGAGACTTATCAACGAAGGTGAAACTTACCGAAAGAAGATCCTTGACTTGGAGTCCGACCTGTCAGCTTCTATGAAGGCTAATGCTGAACTAGAGGTAAGAGGATAATAGCATCACACGATCCATTATTCAAGCATTATCTTCGACCATTTCTACAGAAAAAGTTAACAAAAAGATGAATTTTCTAGCACAGTTTGTCTCTTCGTTGGCTCAACAGTAAATCGTAAATCGTAATTTTCTGAGGTACCAGACTTGATGTATTATGTTCTAGATTGGATTCAAACATCTTTTGTTCATCTTGCCCGGACGTTGTTTGTACCCAAGCTAGACCACAATGCATCATGTTTATTGTACTCAAAAAAGGCTTATTGAATAGAAGTCCAAGTTATTCAGTGATCGATCATGGGAATAAAAGTTCAGGGGAAGGGAGGAAGGGAAAAGAAAGAAAGAAGAAAGAAAGAGAGAAAGAGATAGAATAGAGATGGATAAATGAATATGTCCCATGTTAACTTCTCCCTTGTTTAGAGCTGACTACTATATGTAGATACGACATTCACTGTGGGAAAAAACATCCTTATCTGTACCATCTTGTTTACCTTTCAGAAAGCACTTGAAACATTTCAACTAAAAACTGCAGTAGAAAGAACGACCCTGAATGACATCCACATGCAGACGATAAAGGTACTTACTAACTAACACTATATCGATAGAGCGGTTTTCGTATGAGTGGGAAATGATACAGCTAATTCGTAGCCGTGCTGGAGCAGTACCGTATTTTACCATAGCCATTTCAATGTGTAAGTGCTGTAAGTCAGTACCTTGCGTTTCCCAATCAGACGATAGCACTCAGACGAAAGCATGGAACTATGAAATAGCTTCCCATTGTTTCCGAGTTAATTTACTAATAATTGCACATAGTTACCCCTTCGGTGAGATACGATACGGCTACTCTACGAATACAAATTTGCATTATCGTTTCCCAGCAATGCTGCTTGCAAATTGCAATACATAATTGCTTATATTACCGCACGTCTGTGCTTCTCAGTAGTATGCACGGAATCATTCTCGCGACGAATCAGGTATCGGTGGACGTCAATCGAGGCGTTTTCATGACATTCCATAGACACGTGCCCTTATGTCTTTTCGACAATAGAGAGTTTTAGATTGACGTTCACGGCAAACGTGTAACGTCATTTTATCAGTGAAAAATTCTTTTGAGTAACTGAAAAGGAATCGTAAAAAAATCAATGTAGCAGAAAAACAAAGTAATATTTGTGTGTGATATGAAAGTTTGCAAGAGGTAAAGTAAAATACAGGAAAACGATGAAAACGTGATCATGTTTGCCGTTTGCGGGAAGAAAAAAAGTCAATCTAAAACTCTCTAATGTCATGGAAACACTTTGATTGACCTCCACCAAACCCCTGTTTTATCGTTAAATTGTATGTTTGCGCACATGCTATTCAGAAGCACTGTTAAAGAGCGATACACGATAAGGAATTCCAACAAAGACCACTCCCAAAGCTTTACTTTTTCCATCAACATTGACCTGCCATCTTTTGTTATTCACCAGACTCTCACTTCACCCAAGAAATCCTTCACTCCTAACCGCCTCACACCTCACAGCGCAGCAAGCACACCAAAACGAAGTAGCAAGAAAAGCCTGAACAAGTTGGTGGTCAACTCACCAGTGATTGATCTAGCTGACGAGAAACCACCCAATGGGCTGTTCAGAAGAGACAGTTTCCATGACAGCGGTAGTGATGGCGAGTTTGATGAACCGTTCTTTAACTTTGATGATGATCAGATGGATGCTGAAGAGCTGTATTCTGAAACGTTAATGGACGAACTGAAGAAGCTTCAGGTGAGTACTCTGTGCTGATTTTCCATCAATAATCTTGTTGCAGAGGGAGGGTATGTTCGTCTCGGCACTGGCTACAACATAGAGAACGTGTATTCAACAGACATCTACTGCAATTTTGCTCAGTCCTCATTCAGAGAACTTCAGACTTGGTTCTAAAAAATTGCTTCTTTACTTTGAACTTTCATCCTAAAGCGTTACGTGCAACCTGGCGCGATATAGATAAGTGATGTTGGCCGTCTAACCCAACCGTTAGGGTTGGTAAATATCTGATTGATAAAAGCTAAAACCAACGTCCAAACACATTAAAACAACTTGTAAGGAGCAAAAAGAAGGCTTCAGAACTATGATGTAAGGAGGTTGTATAATGCAAAGGTAGCCTTACTGAGTGTTATTGCTTTTGATTCCACAGGAAATGAACAACGAACTGCTACAGAAATTGCAGGGTTCAGAGTCTAATGCCATCAAGTTAAACCAGGCAGCAAACAAACAGGAATACCAGGTTCAACAGCTCAACTGTGTAAGTGATGAATCTTAGTTAATCACAACATAGAAATATTGACAAAAAACCCCTAAAACCTGGCGGCAGAAGAAAGATGCTAGTAGATCGCACTGATATGCCATGTACTATTCAATCAATCAATCAATTTTATTTGTACTTCAAAGTTATATTGATATAATTAAATGAATTAAGTATGACAGATTTAAAAGTACAGACCATCTGAAAATAACCATAGGGGCTAGACTAAGACAGATGGCCAGACTTAGCACAACCTAGTATACAAAAAAACATAGATTTACAAACAAAAGAATACATAAACATTTACAAAACAACAACAACAATATTGGACGGTAGTAATGGTAGATTAAGTAGAATGAGATGTGTTGTAAATCATGATTTGATCTTCTCAGACCTTGGCCAGTGAACGAGAGAAACATGCTGCTACTGAGACAGAACTGAACATGAAGAACCTTAGCCTGACTGACAAACTGAGGGAGTCTAAAGGAGAGAATTCAGGTGGGTCATCCAGACAATGTTATACACACCAGTAGATGTTGATTAAAGGCGTCATTATTATGCCAAAGTGCCAATAGAATTCACAACAGACCTTGCATCTTGCTTTATATAACAAGTCAATCGATCTCTGGATGGCATTTGACATGACCATGGACATAATTGCAGTGCAAACATGTTTAACTGCTTTAAGATGCACGACTTTGCATTAATGCAGCCTGTCAATTTTCCTTACAAGATTCTTAAAATTTCTGTATCTAATCTCCCCCAAAAAGGTCAAATGTAAAGCATTGTTGATTTTCCATTTCAGTATTAAAAAGTGAGGTAGAAGACTTAAAGATCGTCTTGCAGTCTGCTGACAAAGAATTGGAGACTATCAAGAAGCAAAGAGACTTGGAAAGCATTGAGAATGGAAGAATAATAGCTTCACTCGAAAGCAAGGTATAGAATAATTAAAGAAATAGACAGAACCACAAGATGAACGATCTTTACATGCGCAAACTTTTCTTTGGTGCTTTAGGTGACTCAGCTTGAAATTGAAAACTACAACCAACAGAATGAGATTGAGAATGGCATAGAAACGATACAGAACCTAGAGGTACATTAATAACGAATACATCCATCTGTTCATTTATCCTTTCATTCCATCCCATTCATTCTTCTCTCCATTCATCCTTCCCATTTGTCCTTCCAACCACCCATTTTATCCATGCATACATACTTCCCCCCTCCATCCCACCCATCTGACCTCCCATCCATCCACACCAGCACAGTCATCTCGTTTCATCAGTCCATTGATCCCTCCAGCCAATCTATACATACTTGTCCATCTCATCCGTTCATCCTTCTATTCCTTTGTCCTTTATTCCTTTATCCTTCCCATCGATTCCATCCCACCCATCCATCCATTCTATCCCACCCACCCATTTATTCCATCTATTCTATCCTATTCATCCATCCATCCATTCCATCTATTCTATCCCACCCATCCTTCTATTCCATCTATTCTATCCCACCCACCCATCCATTCCATCTATTCTATCCCACCCACCCATCCATCTGTTCTATCCCATCCATCCATCCATTCCATCTGTTCTATCCCA